GACTGTGGCGCTGCAGGGAGGGCAGGGTGACCTACTCCAAGGCGCAGACTGCTCGACCCCCAGCAGGTAAAGGCGTTCAGGATGTGCAGTCGCTGTCAAACTGCTCGTTGGCCGTTATAAAAATTCTGCTTTGGATATGGATTTCCAGAAGCCAAACAAAAATTAAATGATTTGTGCCATATATGAATTAATTCAGTCATGCAACATCTTGGGTTGGACGGGAGGTTTTCAGCTCTGAGGAACACCTCTGCTTTCTCAGCCCTGTCCTTCCATCAGTAGCATCGTGCGGTGCAGGGACTCGTTTTTGGCATTTACACCACATGGGAATGCTGGAGGTGGGTGGTCAGGGTGGGACACGCTGGCGAGAAAGTCCCTGTGTCAGGAGGAACAACACACAAAGGACACAGTCTCTGCCTAGGCCAGACGTATTTTCTCCTACGCCCCTGTCAGGAACTTGACCAGAAAACGTCCAGATTCTCCTTGATCTGTATCCTTGCTCGCTCTCTGCTGAATAAGCAGAGAAACGAAGAGGGATTTGCATCTATTGAGAACATTCAAGGTTCATGTGAGTTGAAGGCGCATGTTGATTGCTCATGACCATGAAATGCCATGGCGGTAAATTACTTTTTTTTTTCTTCCATAGGACTGAAGGAAGAACTTTAAGTAATGGCAAATTGATTAACTGCCCTTGATGTCACATTTATAAATGTTCCTACTCTGATTTTTCTTGATACTTGCTCGCAGTCTCTTTAACCCTGCAGGACATGTACTTAAACCTGGTCTCCCAAAGATGAAGCTACAGCTGTGCCACCAGAACACTCTGTTAGCACAAGCTCATAGCCTAACTGGCAGAACAGTTATTTTCTATTTTTTTTTTTTTTTTTTTAATTTTTGACTAAAGCACTCTCTGTAGTAACAAACATAAACAAAGAAAATACAGGAAACAGCATCCAGAAGTGTCTGCCCCAGTTGAATCTTTTTTCTCCCTACGTGCAATAACTCACTGCAAGTATCCCCGCATTGCTGTTTGCTTTTTGTGGGAAGTGAAGTTGCTTTTAACATTTTTTTTAATTCCTGGGGCATTTCAAACAGATTTGATGGAAGCTTAGTGCTCAAAGTTTTGATTTTCCTGCATGTTTAGAGAGAATCGATGTGTCCCTGTAGAGCTCCAGAGAAGTGTCGGGGCAGATCTTCAGTGTGAAGGCAGGGTCATTTATTTGATTTGATTTTGTTTTATTTGGTTTTCTGTCCAGCAGCACAGAGAAACACGAACACAGCTTGCAGCTACCCCCCCCAGGTGTGATGCCTCTGGGGTGGTGGAAAATATTTTCAGGCTGCGGGACAGGAGCTGTGGGACAGGACGGAGGGAGGGAAGGTCTTGGGCACCACAGGGAACTGAAGAGATGGGAAAGGTCACAGGGAACAGGGAAAGGAAGAGGGATTATTTTGGCGAGGGGCTGTAGAACCGTGCTCTGTTCATGTTTTGAAGTTAGAGCGTGGTCTCCGGCAGCCTGTGGCAAGCCCTGGTTTTGCCTCTCCTGAAGAAACTTGCAAAAGAGGGGTGTGACTGTGCCGTCAGCTGCGCTGGGGCCTGCAGATGCCTCTGCACCTCGGCGGTGACACTTGTCTGGGGTAGGAGTGAGACTGGGGCTGCAACACAGAGGCACACTCATTTTTCTCCTGCCTGATAAAATGAGAGCAGAGTGGCCCGCACTGCCTCCACCTCCCTCTTCGCTCTCCTCTCCCACCTCCATCCAGCTCCTGTCATCTCTGCTAGCCTCAGTCTTCAGAGCGTAGACCTGGTACAACTAATCCTGCTTCCCCACTTCTTTTTCTTCCGGTTGCTTGACAGGCTTCCTCTTCAACACCCCACGGGCACCTGGGCTTGGGGTTGGGATGTCTCCTGACACAGGCAGTTCCTCCTGGCTCTCTAAGCCTTGGCCTGCTGCAGCTTATCCAGGACTAGGGAGCTTCTATTCAGTCAGCTTCCTCAATTTTCTATCAGTATCTCTGCTGGTGATACCTGGATATTTAAGCATTTAAGCTTCAGCATTTCAGCTGGAGACCGGAGCATCTCCATCCACGTTGGCCCCGAGCCACAGGCGATGGCTCTGCCTGCAGAAAACATCCTGACATGGGAGGAGAAACTGGTACAAAGCACTGCTAGGGTACGAAGTCCTTGGGAGCTGAAAACCTCCTTGGCTTCGCCACTCAGCAGTTAATTATGACTGATAGTAGTAATTGATGTCTTTAGAGCAGTGGATTGCAGGGTTAGCTTATTGCACACGCTCAGCTCTTTTGAAGGAGGTCATTAATAAATCAAAGTGGCTTGGACCTTCTAAATCCATATCAGTTCTCCTAAAGCCAAACAAAACCTAAAATTTTCATTAAATTAGAAGGCCAACAAGGTTCATGGCAGAAATTAATTTCTGTAACTGATGGATCTAAGTCTTCGGTAAATCTCCCAGTGCTGACAGAGGATTGAGGGTGTTTTATTGCCCTGATTATGCATATGAGCCTTCAAACTGACACAAGGTGACAGAGGGTAGAGGCTGATGGTAGTCCCAGCCTTGTAATGAGGAGGAAGATGTTTATGGGAGCTGACACGGGGTAGCCATCTCCCGTGCTCCCAGACATTCGCACTTAGGGATGCTCCCCGGGCCGAGGCAGCTTGCTCGCGGCCCGGCCGGCCGGTGGGGGCTTCCAGGCTGGTGACATGAAAAGGCTCAGAAGTCCCCCAGGTTTGTGTGCTGCCTGTGACAGCCATCCTGCAGGCCCCAACTCTTCACAAGGGGCTTGAGACAGGAATTGTGACAGCAAAACTTCTCCTTAGCCTGATGAGTCACTGCTGGTTTCCAGGTTTTTTGTGTATTTTTTTGGCTTTCGCTGCCTCCTCAGCTCTCCTTGCTGTGCTGATCTGGATGCAAAAATGGGACCAAGTGACTGGGAGTGGAGAAAAGCAGCAGAGGAAAGAGCAGGAAAGAGGGACAGGAGAGCAACTGCTGTCTGTTCTGGTCACGGGAGTCACTGGACTGGCTCAGCTACCCATGAAGGGAATTCCCGGGGACTCCTCAGGAGGAAACTGGCTGCATGGCGGGTGAAAAGGCAGAGTGGCCAAGGGAATAAAGCTTCAGAGATCATACATTTAGGTCCTGTACAAGTCCTTAGCAGGGCTCAGGCTCAAACCGAGCCATAGCTCTTGGATCGCTGTGCAGCAGCGTGGCCGTGGTGCATAAAAAATGTGAAGAGCTAAGGCTTGTGTCTGCCTTCCCTGAGAGTGCTTGGGTTAAGGAGTCCTACTCCACGTGGGTCTGCAGCCACGGCTGTGGACAAGTCAGACATGGACAAGATTGTGTAACTTGTCAAGCTGACGTAACCAGACCTTGAGCCTAAATCTTGAGATTAAGCTGTGCTCCAGCAGACTTCACTGAATTTATATTCTCATAAACATTGTCTTCTTATGTTTGGGGGTGTGTGTGTGTGTGTGTGTTTTTTCTTTTTTTAAAGATTTTTTTAAGAAACAAGATGCTTTTGAAAGCCAAAGAGGAAAAAAAACAGATTGTGGACATGCTTCATTTCCAACCAGGGACTCTGCTGTCACAAGTAGAAGACAGCTCACACAGCCTCAGCTGGTCACTTTGATATTTAGAGTTTTTACCAAGAAGAGATTGAAATTAAGTGTTCAGATCTTGCAGCTACTTCATGGCTGCCAAAGGTTGTGTTTATTTTAAAACCTTATTTGCGCAGACAAATGTAAAGTGGCTCCTGCTACACAGAGACATAAGCCAGCTGCAAAACATCATTTCAGCCCATATGGCTGTAAAACTTGCTGCAGAGTATCCTTAGGCACACTTCAGTCATTAAACTGTCATCTTTGCATTTTGTGTACTGATTGAGTAGGGTAGATGAACTCTCTTCTCTTCGCCTCTCTTTTTAAAAAATTATTTTTACATCAGAACTTTTATTTATAGCAGTCTAAAAGCAGAGATCAGGAGAAAACGTGTATGACTTCTTTCCCAAATGACTAACTGGTTATTTTTCTTCATCATTAAGCTACAAGGTTTAGCTAAACTGCGTGGTGAAGGGGTACTTCATATAGCATTGGGAGCATAAAAAAAAATATGCCATTCAGGTTAAACTAAGACATAAATCAAAATTCATTTTCTGGATAACATGCAAACCCAAAGTTCTGCAGTTATTAAATCTCTCTCTGGCTTTTTACAAAAAAGTAAACGGTGACTGTAGGTTCCCTCAAACGCCAGATTGTGCCTGTCTAAATTGAGCTTCATTCTGTACCTGCCAGTTTCAGATCCTTGCAACATCCTTCCTCTCTTCTATATTTATACGCAGTTTCACTGAGAGTATTTGAGCCCCTGGCACCTTCCCCTGGGTTTCAGCAGGCGGATGGGGACAGGCTGGCTGTAACAAAACCATTAGGATTTCAGACTTCTTTCCAGGGAGGCGTAAATAATACAAAGGAAAACCAAACACAAGTGTTGCTGTAGTTGGTGTGAACTCTCCTGCCCGCCCTCAGCCAGGGTGTGCTGCTGGGGATGCTCGGAAGGGCGTCACCATCTGCACCAGGGTGCTTTGGAAGGTGGTCACTGGCGTGTTCATTCTGACCTTTATTTTGAAAAGAAATAGGAAGAGCTTAAAACGAGGATTGCAATGATAATGTGTTATGGAAGTACCTCAAGGCCTCTGAAAATAAGCCCAAGCTTAAGCTGCATGGGTTTTGCCTAATAGCTTCAAAAATATCATTTACAGCTCCAAGACCATTAAAAGGGCCAACACCCAGACGTTAGGAGGGGCTGTTATGGCCAGTGGTATTGCAGGGAGGCGTAAGCGATGCACGGGGGCGTCAAAGCTCCCAGTACAAGAGCCAATCTGGACAGCTGGGGTTGAGACTGGTCCCAGTGAGGGCAGGAGACCACCAACACTCGCATCCCTTGGCTTGCGTGCCACGGCCGGGGTCACACTGAGGCTTTTGGTGTTCGCAGGAGAGACCCTTCCCCTCCTCCTCGCCCCGGAGACAGGGCTCGCCTGCTGGAGGAGCGCTTATCCAGCCAGGAGAGGACCACGGCTTTCCTCCTCCGTCAGGCTTTCCGGGTCAAAGATGACATCGTCTCCTACCTCCAGGGAAGCAGAGGTTGTCAGCATGAGGAGACTGCTGCCCGGCAGCTGCTGGAAAACCACATCCAGACCATCACGAGCATCGTGAAAAAGCTCAGTGAGGACATTGAGGTAATGCACACCGAGAAGCCTTTCCCTGCCTCAGTGGGGCAGCTCTAGCCCGTGCTCCATTCAGCACGAATATCGGCTTCAGGAGCAGAAAAGCACTCGACTGCCGTGTTTTAGTTAAATTCTGATTTTTCTGGTATTGTTGCACTTGCAGTTGCTGTGAAAACAGAAGGGAGGTGTCTAGGGACAGTAAAGTAAAAAGGAGAAAAGTAAAATGAGATAGAAAACAGCTTAATCAAGTTTGGTGGTGTTTTAATTCAAAGGTTCGAGTTCTATTTGCTTTTAGTTCGGTGAAAGTGCTGGAGGTTGTGTTTGAGGGAAATAGGAACAAGCTGTATTTTTGTGTTTTCATCTAACATGTAACATCAAGAATCAAGTTTGGGTTTACTTCCTAGTTTTCCTGATGCAGACATTCTACTACTTTGTGTAAAGTTCTGCATGCAAACATAATAAAAAATTGCCAAAACTCTTCACAAAGCTCAGGGCAGACCAGCATGAAGGTTCAGGTTCACGTTTTATTTAAACTGACTGATGGTTCTGTGCTGGAAATGCTTGAGATGCCTTTTTTTTTTTTTTCTGGCTAAATACCTTTGATTATTTGCTGTTAATTGTCAAATTTATATGTGAAACTTACCAACACCTTTTTTTCTGGGCAAAGATGTAAAATACAAAAATATCCTGAAATAGACTTCTCCGGAGGTTCGCTTTGTCCTTTGAACTGTTAAATATCTTACAAATGCCGCTGAATTCACAATGCATTTTGTTTTTCATGTGCTTGAGGAAATATTTGATCTTCTGCAGATTCATCTTAAGAAGTATGGAATCACAGCTCACCTGAGATTAACCTGAATTGAAACTGGGGTCTGTGTTCATTTCATACTGATTTTAGTTTCCAGATTTTCATGCTGTGGTGATAAGCAATGCCATAAACCCACTTATTTATTTTAGATTGTGCAATTCCTCTAACCCTATCCAGATGAAATATGTACAGGGCTGTTTTGATGGAAAAACGCCGGAGATGGTATCAGAACCTAAAGCTAATCTTGTCCCTCGGTTGTAAATTACCCTTCTCTAAACCCTAATCTCAGGTCGGTGTATGCTTTGTGTATTTTGGTTGCGAGGGTTTGATAAGGGTAGAGCACTGACAGCACAGAAAACAGCACAGTGAGACGTGTCAATCAAAGCTGCTACATAATTAGTGGAAGTTTGGAGGATTGCTCCTGGCACGCAGCAATTGAGAGCGGTTGAGCAATTTCGATTTCTCAAGCATTTGGGGCAAAAAATTAAAAAAAAAAAAACGAAAGGATCTGTCAGGAAGCGTGACTCACTCATACTCCAAACCTTCCCCAAAGCAGGAAGAATATCCTTCAAAAAATGCTGCTTTGGGCAAGATGCTGGCGTGCTGTTGGCACCAGGAGTGGAGCTGAGCCTGAGCAAACACACCCCTCCGCCAGAGCCAGACAGATGCCCCGTAGGGTCAGGTGGACAGTGACCAGGCCCTTGACAGAGCCGTCACAGGAGAGGGCTGAAAATTGCAGGAGAAAAGCACCAAAATAAAAACCGAGGGGCAGAGAGGGGATGTGCATGGCAACACCCCCGGTAACGCCCGTGAGGTGACGGTGTGTCAGCCGGGCGAAGGGGTGACGGTCAGTCGGGAGCACGTGGCTGGCTCTTGCCCCGGGGCCGGCAGCGCGGGGATGGGAGCGCTACCAGGACCCTGGGAACAAGCCGGAGAAGGAGAATATCGATTTCCCTCCGTAAACGTCAGGCTGCTGCTCCGCGTCCCAACGAGCCAGCGTCTGGCGCTGCTTCGGCCAGCGAGGCAGCCACGGGCCCGTCCCGCCCCACAGACTCGTGGCACCAGGCTCCCCTCGACAAACACCCTGCCAGAAACACACCTGAGCTCTGCAGCACATTCCTCTCCCTGAGAACGTTGTTTTCCGATGCGGAACGAAGATGAGGAGTGCCCACTATCACCACTATGTCGGTGATCCATGCTCTGCGTGCCTGGCACCGGGATTGCTCAGGAGTAACGGCACAAATGGCAGATTTGAGTGAACACTTTACTCCGGAGATGTTACAGCTTTCACTGCTCGCTTGTGCCCCACTTCTGATGGGTGCTGAAGTCTCTCCTTCTGCTGGCGGAGGGGCACAATGCTGCAGCGGGGGGACTTGGCACGAGGGGGGTTTGCATGTGCCACGGCACCTTCCCTGGCCACACGGCTGCAGGGGAAGAGGCCTCAGGACGGGCAAACCCATCTGCAGCGACTCTGCCAAACTTCGAGCATTTACCTTTGAAGTTTTCCCTATTAGTTGTCCTTTCCTGTATTATTACTACTTTTAAAAATTCACTCAGTGGGGAACATTTCAAACGAAAAGCCAGCAAAAGCCACTCTATTTTGCACAAACAGGGTATTTGCATTAAAAAGGGTAAAAGCTGTCCTTTGACCTGGAGAAGTGATATGTGATGCTGAATTACCCTGAAATATCCGCCCCAGGCCTCTCCTTTCAACAGGAGAAAGAAAATTGGGAGATTTTAGAAATCATTCCCTCCTCTCCGCATCTGTAAAAGGTCACAGTAACTGCATGAGGGCTTCCTAAAATTGATGCTTGTGACACACTCAGGTACCATCAGGATGAGCCACTTCGGAGGCGCCTGCTGGGCGGTTACTCCTTCCACCTTTATCAGACCTGTAATACTGTGCAATAACTCAGATATGAGGCCAGGTGCAGAGCAGTAAGGGTAAAACAAGACATAGTGCGGGTGTTTGCAGGGGAGCATGAAATTTATGTCCCGATTTTTGCATTTCCTAATTTTGGTGTGCTGGACTTTTCAACTTGAAGTATATTTTTTAAGGGAGAAACGGGCATATTATTTATGCAGACGTAGATTTTTGAAAGGAAAACGCAGGTGCTTTCTCCAAGAAAGAAAAGCAATCTTTTAGACCTGCTGTCATAAATGGTGCTTTGAGCTCTATTTTGAAATGATAAAAGAACAAAGTAAAAAATGGAAATGGCATTAATGGTCTTGCATTTACAGGTTTTAGAGAGGCAAATAAGAGCAAGGGATGGTGCCACAGTGGAAACTAATTTTGCTGTTCAAACCCTGGACCATAAATACATCCAGGGTCTTGGAGACCTGCGTGGAAGAGTGACAAGGTAAGGAATGTGTCATGACCCTCATTTTCATCTCTGCTAGTCAGTTTGTGCAGAGCAGAGTCAGAGTGGCATGGATGCACTTTCCACTCATTTTATATTTCCATTTTAGTGCCAGATCCGTGCTTCGCATTCTCCATGTTAGAAAAATTATCAAGCCAGGGAAAAATAACTGTATTTTCCTGTCTCGTTCTTCATCACATACTTACTTAACATTTTAGAGATTTTTTTTCTTCTCCAGACTGGCTAGACTTCAGCTGAATTAGTTATTTCCTCCTACTGAAACTCTACTCTTGTTTCAATAAAATCTTCACTTCCTCCCTTGGAAAGTAGGTCTTGTTGAGCAGACTTGATTTCTTCCTCGGATAAGATGTTAATTTCTGGTTGGTACAAATAATTGCTGGCACACAACACAGGGGGACTTCCGTGAGGTACTTGGTAACACGACATACTATGATTAGAAGAAAGATTAAGTTGAACTTGCCATGTAATATTGAGAGAGCACAGGAATTAAGAACTGTCTGAACTGATACATCAGTAAAAGTGGTCATTAAGGAACAAATGTCCCTGTACTGGCCTGTTTCTAATGGATTTTTTTTCCCTCCAGAGGCCAGTCATTTGCTTTTCATATAAAATACTGTTACTGACATGTGGGAATATCACAAAACAAGAGAGGACAAGGTGGTGATAGGGAATAACCAGGACTATTGTGGGCTGATTGAGAAAAAAATGTATTTTGTAAACCCAGAAAGAGGCTGTTTCACTACTGAGTGCCCCCTGAAAAGTTTGGGGAATGCAGCAGGTAAATAACTTACTGTGAGCTCTTACAGTGACACAACATCAGAAATGCCAGGAGTGTGGTGTTGGACAAGAGGAGCAGAGGACCAGTAAGTAGGGAGGTTATTTTAGCTCTGTGTATGACACAGAGATGGATACCGGAATATTGTACCGAGCCCAGAGCCCTCTTTTTGAAAGGAAAAACTTGCTGAGGTGTAAAGAAGAGACAGGAATGTGATGGTGGGATGAGGAAAATTTCTGGCTGAGAGAAATATACATCTATATATAGTTTACAGGAAAAAATAAAACCAGAGATGTATAACCACCAGGAGAGAAAGGAAAAAAAGCATAGGGTACCGAGGGACTCCAGACTAGCACAGAGAGACCCAAGAATCCAAAATGAGAAGCTGGAGCCAACATTTTAAAAGTTGGCAGGAAAAAGATGTGGTTTTTTTTTAAACCTTGGTTGATTAGCATTGGAACCAAGTAGGAGGTGATCCTGCAAGAGCCTCCTGATGTTTTCCAATTCGGGTCGGCAGACTCTCTAGACGATTTGCTTTTAGCAAAGTCACAACATCTGAGGGGTGACGTGTCTCGCTCCTCTTCTCCCAGCATTTTCACAGGCGTGATGCTTCCCTTCATCAGCTGCACCGGGGCTTGCTCCCAACTTCTGTGCTTGAGCGTTCGCCTGCAGCACAGGGAAGAAAAATCACTCAGGGAAAACAGGGAAATTGTGGGGGGAAAAAATGACCAGTCCGCTTCTGCTTGCGTAAAGAAAAAAAGAAACAGCTGGAAGAAGCAAGAGGCCAAGCACTTGTGGGTGTCCACAGCAACACGTTTTATGGTGTCTCTCCTCCTCCTCCTCCTCCTCCTTCCTTGCCCATTTTTCAGGCGCGCTGGCTGGCCCTTCCCACGGGTAGAAGGGAGGATCCCAAAAAACATGTCTGCAATTGCGCATAAAAAACACTCAGGGGACCAAAAAATCATCATCTTATGATGCTGGGGTCCTTAGACCCCGTTCGCTTTTAAGGAGACAAAAAGGAAACCGGCAGGTTTTCTACCTTCATCCAAACACACGGGTACCGCAGAGCCAGCGCTGGCATTTCAGTGGCATTTCAACAGCGATGTCATAATGCGGATTTAGGTGAACGATCACCGTTAAGCTCAAGCATATAGAATCATGAATCATCAGCACTTGCTTGTTTTTGCTGCCGCTGAAGTTCTGCTCTGGAAGTGCCGAGCCTTGACTGCCGACCTGCGCCCAGCGCTGTGGCTGAGGACTGAGCCAGGTCTGACAGACAGGGGACTGCCGTTACGGGCACAAATAATAGTTTGGGGGTTTTGTGTTTCTTTGATTTTCAGTTTCAGGATTTAAAATTTCTATGTATATTAAGGAGACCTCAGAGTGGCTGGAGGCAAATGCACGTGCTCATACCATTTACCTTTATTCAATTAATAGAAATCTTCCAAATGCAGACTTGCAGTGACAGTTTCCCCCTTGATTTGTAGCCTAAGGTTCATCCAAGACTACCTGGGCTGGAATTAACCTTAAATGGAGCCACTGCTCTTTCTCACAGCGGATGATTCATCCTCCTGTATTCTGCCATCTATAAAGGATTAATGTGGATTGGCTCTTGTAATTCAAATTGTGCCTCTTCTTTTACTCTATCTTTCCTTGCAAAATAGACAGACCTCTCGCAATTACTGAGGTAATTGTCCATTAGTTCTTGGACCCTCTGACTGCATTAATACACTGTGTAAACATTTACATATCAAACAATGGTGATCTTTAATAAAGAGCCTTCGGCATCTCAGCTATAGTGGCATTCCCATTGGATTCGCTATATATTTTATGGGCATTCTGACTCTTAATACGAATTCCTTTAGACATGGGAATAGGTGTTGCAGTAATAAGAATCCGGTAATCAGCTATAAAAAAAGCCGTATTTCTGATAAATATTAATTAATTCTCTTCAGCCTCACCAGCAGAAGAATAAATGAATGTGCAAATTAATAAACAATGCATTTTACACAGATGGTTGCATTGTACTTACTTTTCTCATGAGCATTTTTTTTTTTCCCTCAGAGAAAAAAGTCCAGCATAGTACTAGACTATCAAACCCCCTGGTGTGTACCCGTGAAGTTACTTGACCCTTTGTAAAATGCAATATTTTGGCGAGTACAGCAGTCCAATATACACTGCTCCTTCCCTGACCTTGGAGGATAAAGCTCCTTGAACTTTACCTAGAACCAGGTAGCGATATTCCTGTCTCTAATTAAGCACCTTGATATGACCATCAGAGTCTTTTATTCCTTCAAAATTTTTAATTTATATGCAAATCTCATGGGAGCACAGTTTCTGTACCGTTCCCAGTCCATCCACACTGGTGCCTGTGCCCGCCCTGCCCTCTCTCTTGTGTGACTGGAACACCACGACCTCGTGGCACCATGTGGAATGTCTCCGACCTGACGTAGCAAATTGGAGAGAGATTTCAGCCAGTGCCCACCATCCCCATTCTCTTCTGGGCTTAGTCTGCCGAACGGCAATAATGCATTTAGCTGCTTTGCACGTAACAGTTACAAAATCCCAGAATCATCTGGGTTGGAAAAGCCCCTGCAGCTCCTCCAGCCCAACCATGACCCTCACCCTGACCGTTCCCAACTCCCCCAGACCCCTCAGCGCTGGCTCAGCCCGACTCTTCAACCCCTCCAGGGATCCCGGGGACTCCCCCCTGCCCTGGGCAGCCCATTCCAACGCCCAACAGCCCCTTCTGCACAGAAATCCTTCCTCAGAGCCAGCCTGACCCTGCCCTGGGCAGCTTGAGGCCATTCCCTCGGGGCCTGGCGCTGGGGCCTTGGCTCCAGAGACTCATCCCCCCTCTCTGCCCCCTCCTGGCAGGGAGTTGCCGAGGGCCAGGAGGTCTCCCCTCAGCCTCCTCTTCTCCAGACTGAACCCCCCAGTTCCCCCAGCCGCTCCCCAGCAGACGTGTCGGGAAAGTCACCTCTGAGCAGGCCCAGAGACCCAAGGCACATCGGCGGTGCTGGGGGGTCTCTGCAAAGCTGGACACGTCTGCAGGTCCCTGGGCAGGGCTCTGACCCCCTGGTTACGCAGTCACACGGGTGTGGTTGAACGAATCCCACGCTGCGAGCTGAGCTTTTGGATCCTACCATCAAACCCTCTATTTTGAAGTATTCTCTGTATAGAATATTCAGGTTCCTTCCTCTTGTAGCTGAGTGATGCCTTCCTCCATCAACCCTTTCTCACACTCTGCGCTTCTCGCAGAGCATTGCCATCGTTGCTCTCCCTCTCCAGATCCATGTTCACTTTCGCAGCTATTTTGTACTTGTTTTCCAAATCAGTGGTTTCTTTTGATCAAAGTTCTGGCCTTTGTAAAAAGCCTCTATTATCTGCAGTAACTTTTTAAAAATTTCCTTGATCTACAGGCTCTGTAGGTGTATCACAATATCGAACCATCATCAGATGACAAAAAGCTGGTCTATTTAAAATGTCAAAATTTCCCTTCAGATCCTTTATCTGTCAACAACACTGGCTTTATTCAGTGGTGATTCTTTGAAGGATAATTTCTTTGGCATTTTAAAACTTAGCTGTTTTCCCCACTCAACTTCCATTCTGTTATTTATATTAACTTGTGCACTAATTTGTGGCCTTAAGGTATTTCTTCCCACATTCTTTCTCTTGAGTACTGCCTACGCTGGGGCAGGCAGCAATTCCTGGGGGGAACAGCAAGAAGAAGGGGTGCAGAAGGGGAATTCTGTGTCTCCTTGTTTAAGTATGTATATTTACATATACTCTGTTTAGGGATATTTAGATGGTTTATGTATATTTACATATACACTGAAGAAAAGCTTCTTGGGCATGTTAAAAAAATTTTTTTTTTAATATATATAGTTAAGTACATATATACTATATCTACACAACGTGTGTGCATGTATATCTGTATGTATACACATGAGAGGGGCTGAAGCAGTCATTCATTCTACCTGGGAAGGATTTCTGCTTGACTGTTACTCAATTCCTGGGCTACTCAGTTAATTCTGCCACTCTCACATCATTTTTTTGTCCATTTTAAATGCGACGAGATGTTCTGGTGAACGCAACTGAAGGAGTTCAAATAGCAACCAACAAACGCTCCTTCCAAAACAGCAAGTTTTGTGGTTTTTTTTTTCTAAAAGCGACCTGGGTCCGGCCGCGGAGGCTGCGGGATGGGGTGGCTGCAGAAGGCACAACTCACCTGGAAGGCATCCAAAACCTGGGGGTGCTTGGAGTTCAGATTAGCCTCTTGATTTACACTTCAGATTCAATTTAATTCGTTGAGACTGGGCAGTGGGAAATCAGGCCGGGGTCTTGCTCTGGACGGCTCCTGCAGCTCCTCCCTTGCACCCGCCTCCGGCTGCCTCCCGCTTCCCCACCATCACTTCCCCAGCGCTTCCCCACCATCTGGAAGGGGACTGGGGACCAGGGCTGATGCAATGGGGTGTCTCTGCCCATTTTGCCCCTCGCCAGGGTGGTCCTGGGGGGCTGCATTTGTTGTGGTCAGCTTGCGCCAGCCCCCAGCACCCCCGCAGAGGCTCCCCTGTCCCTGGTTTGACCCCAGATGCGAGGCGAGCGTGGCGAAGCTGGCGGCGGACATCAGTGTCGTCAGGCGTGAGGCACAGAAGACTGACAAAGAGGTTTATGGCCTTCACTCTGCCCTCAAAAACTGCGCTGCCGATTTCGAGAAGAAGGTGAGTAGAGAAGCGCACGGTGAAATACCTGGTGAGTTGTGACTCTGCACATATAAATATGGATTCTTCTCCTAATTGCTGACTGATATTAAAGACTGACACAGTATTTATACAATACATCAGGATTTGTAATGAAATATGTTTTTCATGATACTGTGGAATCATAGAATCAGAAAATTTTCAGTTTAAAGGTCATCTAGTCCCCACCCCCCTGCCCCGGGCAGGGCCACCTTCCCCCAGCCCAGGTTGCCCAAAGCCCCGTCCAACCTGGCCTTGAGCCCTTCCAGGGAGGGGGCAGCCACAGCTGCTCTGGGCAGCCTGTGCCAGGGCCTCACCCCCTCATTGTACAAAATTTCTTCATTATACCTAGTCTGAATCTGACCTCCTTTAGTTTAAAACAATTTCTCCTTGTCCTGTCGTTACAGGCTCTGTTAAAAAGTCCATCCTGATCTTTCCCGCAGCCCCTTTCAGCCCTGGGGGCCGCTCTAAGGTCTCCCCGCAGCCTTCTCTCCTCCAGCTGAACCCCCCAACTCTCCCAGCCTGTCCTCACAGGGGGGCTCCAGCCCCCCCAGCATCTCCGTGGCTCCTCTGGCCCCGCTCCAGCAGGTCCGTGTCCTTCTGCTGTTGGTGCCCCAGAGCTGGACCCAGCCCTGCAGGGGGGGCTCCCAGAGCGGAGCAGAGGGGACAATCCCCCCCCGGCCCTGTGCCCCCCCTGCTCTGGGTGCAGCCCAGCACACGGGGCCTTTCTGGGCTGCCAGCGCACGGTGCTGGCTCGCAGGCAGTTTGCACCCCCCGACCCCCCGAGTCCTTCTCCTGGGGGCTGCTCTCCAGCCCCTGCTCACCCAGCCTGGGTTTGTGCCGGGGATTGCCCCGACCCGTGGCAGGACCTTGCCCTTGGCCTTGCTGAACTCCAGGGGGTTTGCCCGTGCCCCCTCCCCAGCCTGCCCAGGTCCCTCTGGGTGGCACATCCCTGCCCTCCGCGTGTCCCCGCACACACAGCTCAGGGTCGGGGGGAACTCGCTGCGGGGCCTCGATCCCACTGTGTCCCTGATGAAAACATCAAACAATACTGGTCCCAGTACACACCCCAGGGACACCACCCATCACTGAGCTCCATCTGGCAGTGGCGTTTATAATAGATGTAAGGTCATAAAAACAGATAATAAAAATATTCCAGGATTTGTGGATCTTTGGATCATAAATGACCTATTATTTATTCTCAGTGTTATTAATATTCAAATGCATCTGGAAATTTCAGTTGCAGGCAGTTTGGACCTAAAAGAGGCCGTCTAGGTCTGCTGTTCTCTCTTTAGATTTAAGGCAGTGGCAGGGAGACATCTAATAGCATATATCTAATTCCATATTAATTTTGGCAGTATTTCAAAAGCTTTTGAAAGTGTAACACTGAAAAAGTTTTGGAAAACAGTGTTTTGTGTGAGAGTGGGTTTTTTTCTCCATGGAGTGGGTGAGCCGACAGGGGATAAGAGCTGCCAGTGCCTGTTATTCCTTATAGCTGGCCTTTCCTTGCGAGAGGCTCACTGTGTTCATCACCACTTTTGGAGTCTCTAGCAGGATCAGGAGCATTAGCAGTAATATTTTACAAGAATCCAGTTGTACTGGAAAATACAGCTCTCCCAACCTGCAGCACGAAGGCTCTCTGCTCCTGCTCCAGACGAGACATCTCCCGTACCTGCCAGGATGGAGCAGATGTGGGACGTTCGATTTTTCACATACTCTGGTATCAAATATAATCTCGTTAGTGTATTTTGATTGCTGCACAAGGCACAGTGACAGCTATTGGCTACCCAAGGTCCTCTTCTGCAAGGAAAAATTACTAAAATTACTTAAACAACAATATCTTACTTGGAATTCTGTTAAAGACACACTTCGGACATCTGTCTCCTTGAATACCTATGAAAAATGTTTTTTTTCACCTGAACACAGGGAAGGGAGCAGGTGTGTGTGTCAGAGTCGCATGAAACAGTACACAAAATCATGTAAAAGTCACAGAATCATCTCTCACAGAATCACAGAATGATCGAGGTTGAGAAAGACCAACTGAGTCCAACCATTAAAGTCAGGGCAGACATGGGGCAGGATGCAGAAGAAACTTCCTCAGCTGAAAAGGGAAGAAGTTGTTCTCACACGATTGTAGGAAAGAAGAAAGGAAATTATTTCTGAAAAGGATCATCTGTTGCTGTGAAGGGAGAAAGCACCAAGCCAACATAATGAGTCTTCGGCGGCACCTTCTTGTCATTGACAAGCAGGTGGTGGCATCTCCTCACCAAGAATTTTTGTGCTAGTTTGGTGTGAAATCCGTGAAGAAAATGGGATTTTCCAGCCCCTTTCATTTTGTAATTAACTGGGAGTAGGCAGGCTGGACCCCTCATCCCTCTCATCAGACTGCCCTTCAAGATGAAGTGTCTGCTTGCAGCGGCAGGCAACGTAACCCAGGTTGCACAGGGTCACGGTGGGTGAGATCGAGTGAGAAATGGGTTTCTGGTGGCTTCCAATACCCTGAGTCACTCACCTTCCTTCTTCTAGAGGCACATGGACATGCAACTGCTCTTGAACTAGCGGACGCAGCTGCTGGAGCATCCATAGTGTTTCCAAACGGCTCTGCATCACCGAGGCCTGGGGACCCCTCGGCATCACATTTTCACACCAGTTGTGCAAAGTCGGACATGTGCAGACGGCGGATGAGCAGCTCAGTGCCCTTGGCTTGCTGGATCTTGGATGGGCTGAACTTGCAAATCTTCTAAGGGATATTTCCAGCTTTTCCTGCCCGTAGAACCCAATGCAGACAGGTCACTGCTGCCAAGGGAGAGCTTGCCCGTGTCCATCCCTGCAAGACGTGGGCTGCGTGGCTGCACCTCGCCAGTCCACCTTGTCCTCTGCACCCCAGTCGAGGTCCCTCAGCCTGTGGGCCGGGTTGGTGAAGCAGTTTCTGTCCCCCTCATCCCAACAACGAATGATCCCGTGAAGGAGACATCTCCAACCAAAGAAGTGTTTGAGGGCATCAGGCACCTGGGATACCCCGCGGCCTAGAGGGGATGCACAGCCCCGCCTGGACATGGCAAAGGGAGGGACGCTTTGATCAGGGTCCCCCTGGTTCCATCTTAATGCCGTATCCACCGGAGCATCTGTTAGTGCAGGGGAGCCTCTCCTCTTTTGGCTCTTCTTGGGATGCCATTAGGTGTTGGGCAGCCAACACACACATGCTTTCCAGGGTTTCAAGTTTTCAGTCAACTGAATGAAATTATTTGTGAGAAAAGTTCATTTTTGTGTAGCCGTACTTTTTTGTACTTAATGTTTGCTGTTCTTTTTCCATGCTTGCAATCATAATGCATATTTAAATGTGAGCGCTCACAGTCTGGCTCATAAAGGCGTTCTCTGTTGAATTCTCACCAGGTGATGCAGCTATTAGGCAAGATAGAGGCTTCCAACTCTGATCAAAGCTCGAATTTAAAGGCAATCCAGGGAGATCAACATCACGAATTGCAACTTCTGGATTTCAAGTAGGTGATGGAGGGTTTTTCGTTATGATAATTCACATGGAATGCTTCAGCATGATGAACAGGTTGCCATGAAAGAGCAAAACAAACCTGTTAATTAACATCCATTCAAAACACTAAGAGAAGGTTAATGAAGATCTGTGCCATAAAATAATGAAAATACGTAATGAAAGGATATTGTCTTGCATGTTAATTGTTAAAATGAGGCACTAAAATGCCACCCTGTAAGAAGAAAGGTATGAAACCAATTAACTTGCCATACTTAAAAGAAAGGCACCAAACACAAAGAGGCTATTTACCATTTTAATTGGGGCTAATTTGTGACTTGCCTGATGACAGAACAAGACATTTTTCTTTGTGCATTTGCACCATCCGTCCATTTCTGAGACAGCCCCCCGGGGCAGGGGCGATGCTGATGAAGAAAGGTGGGCACAAGGCTGGTGTAGCTGCACAGCCTCATGTGCCCACAGGTTTGTGATTTATTTCCTTCTTCCTTGCCTGTATATTTGTCCCGTTCTATCTGCAGAAGTATTTTTTTTTAGGGCACCATTTTAATCTTGACGGGTTTTAGAGAGGAGGGAGCTCCAGGGAAGGATGCAATGAACAAAAGTATCTGGCATCTGTATCCAAAACAATGCAAACCAGCCCAGCATCGGCCAGCAGAGCCAGCACAAATAACTGAAAATGTAATTATAATAATCCTGCAATAATGGTATTTCAAAGGCAATAGTTCCACTGCTTAAAACAGTGAAGCATTTGAATAAAGACTCATTTTATTTAAGATTTTACTTGAATTGTATTCAGAAGTAAAAATGAGTTAGAACTTTTAAACAGAAGAAAGTTCTCATCCGGACAACAGGAAAAGGAATTGGGGTGAATGGGGAAATAACAGCTAAAGTGGGCAATGAATTAAAATCAGGAAAAGGGAAGAAGGAAGATGGAGACAGAGAGCAGTGGTGATGTGAAAGGGACAAGAAATGAAACCAAAGTAAGAGGGAAGGAAAAATGGAATGATGACAGAAAGGAAAAAAATTGGAAAACTTAATTGAGGTAAATGGTGAGTTTCTCAGAAGTTAACGAGAGCTTGCTGAAATTGTCATCAGAAATAGGAAGCTTGGGGAGAGGCGGCTTTCAAGACACTGCGATGTGCTGGCATTGTTTATTTAATGTAAAATCAAAAAGACTTATTTACTAGATGTTGAGATTTTATTCCAGTTAATATAAAATTTGATTAAGATAACGTGCCCTTGGGGGAATGTCTGTCTCCTTTTATATAGCTCCTTTAAAAGCCTACCAAATTTATGCATTCTTTTTATAGAGCTGAAGTAAAATTTAACTTCTGGAACAGACTGGAGCTTCCACATAAAATCTGGCAAGTTTAAATCAGCTTTAAAGCCCAGAGTTACCTCTTCAGTTGACATGCAGCTGCCTGGGACCCAGTTGTCTTTGACTGTGGGCTGGCAGTTGTATTGTTATTGAAAATCGGATGAATTTCAAACATATTTACAGATTTCACGGGAGTTGTGCCTTGCTCAGGAATTTGGCCCTTGGCAGGGGAGTGGACGCTTACCTCTCAGGGTCAGTTAGGTTGGAATAGCTGCACTCAACTCCACAAAGTCAATTCAATTGCCAATAGATGTATTTTCACATGTGAAAATTTATGGTAGCACTACTGGAATAGTATTCATATATATCTATATATAGATATATTCATTATTAAATATCTACAAGTATCCCCTTATTAATATTTCAGGGCTTTGCTGTGCTGAGACTATGGCAAATCGTCTGCCTCTGGAGCCTCACTCCTGGTAGATACATTTTATAAGCTCCACGCAGGAGGGATGTGAATCACAGAAATAAAATAAAACATGGTGCTGTTTTATTATTAAATCATTGATGTTACAAAATGAATACAAAATAATATTATTAATCGTCATCTTGTCACTGTCATGTGTGTCCCTCGAGATGGGCCCCAGCCACCTTCATCCTCCTCAGCGGATGAGGTTTGCAGGATCTGCATCCCAAAAATCCCGTTGTGATCGTTTGGTCGGAACTACACAGGCCGTGTCACCTCACATAACTGCTTGTGGGAGTCATAGCGATCACTTCCAGTGCTTGCTAAATAACTTCCTATAAAATCAATTATTTGTGTGGTTTGCCCCCTTCTCCCCAAGGCAGACTTTGCCAAATCTTCTCTGAGTTGCCTGCACTCAGTCTCAGACAATTAATTTTTAGGTTAACGTATTTCGTTCTTCCCCCTTTGCCAACCTCAGAGGAATGGAGGCAAAGTCAGACGCCAGCTGCCAGCGACACAAAGTGTGGTTTTGAGCCTTTGAGCAGAGCTGACCACCAGTTCTGTCATTCACAGTTAATTCATCTTCACCCATTAAGTGATATTCCCCAAATTTGTTTGGCAATCTTACCACAAGCAATGCCATGGCAGCTCTGTTTTGTGCCCGAGGGACCCGTTGACTCATCCTCAGGGAGGAAGATCCTCCACTCATGGGCAGCGACCTTGGGGCAGGCAGCGGTGGCTGTGGCAGGGTGCTGCCTCCCTCCCTGCCAGACCTTCCAGAACCGCGTCTGGGCAGCAAATCCTGTTATCCCGGCCAGACGGCTCGCCGTTGGGCCTGAGAAAACCTCTTTACACCTCCCCTCCCCGTGCTCGGGTTGGACACTGGTCCGTATTGTCAGTGGGCTCTCCTGTTTGCTTTTCTCGGGAACAAAGATCAGTGCTCCAGGAAGCAAACTCTGTGTGCACGGTAGGGCTGGAAACGGCAAACTCAATGCTACAAGATCTTAATCCTGAAAAATCAGATCTTAGCACTGCTGAAATAAGTGATAAACTGACCTAACAGGCTGATTATGTAGATCTGGAAAAGACACTACAGCAAATTGCAATAACACATCACTTAGAGAGATTTTGCCATCATTAACTTTTTTTTTTTTACCACATTTACAGAGACTGCTGATGGCAATTATCACTTCATTAGGCTGATACAGAGCTGTTATCAATCACTCAGTATAAAAACCACTTTCACTCAAACACCCTTTTGAAAAGTGATATTAAATATTAGAAGCGCCATAAGCACCAAGTCTAGTTGCAAAATCCTGCTCCTTACCTGGCGGTTTGTATCCCGACTGGGGCCCAACAAATTTCAAGCAATCATTGTTTGTGCACAAAAATGTCTTAGAAATTAATGCCGTTATGTTCAAATCCTTCGTGGCACTCCTACAGTCAGGTCATATGCATGAGCATGAAAATTTATGTATACGACTACAGCCTGGACCTAAGTTCACATCTCGTCGTAGTTCATGCTGTAAATTACATGTTGCAGCGTAAGAAAAGCAAAATCTAAACTGTGTAGTTGCCTTTCACTCGACATTTTGCAGATTTGATGGGAGCAGCATTTGTTCCCCACTCTCCTCCGGGCGCTGCCTTCTTTGTTCCCTTTGTGTGGGTTTTTACATTTCTAGCCAGCTTCTGCCTCAAAGACAACTCCACATTCTCTTTCTCGTTTAGTTATAAACTTTTTTTATTCTTATGAACTTCATCTTTAGATCACAAGCGATTTTGCTGCTCTCCCCAGTGCCCAGCAATGCAGTCAATGTTCAGTGGGACAGCGTGATTTCCTCATCTACTTTGAATAGAGTTAATGCAAATGGGAAATTAACATTTTTCAGCCCTCAGATATTTTCCTAAAGTAGACCACGCTACAGAAATAACATTGTGGCATGTAGGTACAACCTTCAAGGCAAGGATTAATAAAATAATTGAGTTTAGGGCTTGTTAGGAAGCTATTAAGGAGATTTGGAGTAATTTAAGCAATTTACTCAAGTGACTCAAGACTCCTCCATAACACTGACTAAGCCTTAGTCTTGTTACTAAAAAAATAATCCTGATTTTAGGTTGACAAGTGTTCTAAGTGACTTCAGGGATCAGATGCAGACTCATCGGAAGTGGACGGAAGTGCAGCTGACCCGGTCTGAAGAAGACCAAGTCCAGCGCAGGCATCAGCTGCTTGACTGGGTGAAGGAGGGGCTGGTAAGTCTGTCCAGGACAGGCGCTGGGCGGCCTCCAGCTCTCCCAGGACTGGGAGCGAGACGCGCCGCTCCTGCCACCTCGATCCCAGCAGGTACCAAATCACACACACAAAAAGCGAGACCTAACGCAAAACCAGGTGTCTCAGGGCGACGGGTGAAATGATGAGTTAGGCAAATCGTGGAATCGTAAATTATTTTGTGTTGGAAGGGGGATCGGGAAGTCATAAGGTTCAACCTCTCACTCAAACAGGGCCGACAGTGAGCTCAGGGCTTGAACCTCATCCTGGTTTCTGTTTCTGAGGATGAAGATCCCAAATGCTCTGGGTATCCCAGGAAATAAAACCTTCCCGGATTATGGCTCCGCCTCACATCTGTGTAACCCCAACGTACCCACCCGTGGCGTCGTCCTGTCCCCCAGCGAGCAGCAGTGCCGCCACAGAGCACCCCCCAGAGTCACTCGTGGGCAGGCTCAGAAAAGGAAGGGATCCTGTTCAACCCCCGCCTGGTTTGAAAGACAAACCCTCACCCTCCCGCGGCTGGTACATGAAAACACGGTGTGTTTCGGCTCCACAGCAGCACTCAGCGCTTGGCACAGGACCGAGGCCTTTTAGTTAATTCCTTCACAGCTTTTAAAGCTTCTCCTCCTTTGCTGTGCGTGGTTCATTCCACTTCAGAGCTCAAAAGCGATCGAAACACGCCGTATCTTAGTGCTGGGGTGAAGGCTGCTTATCAAAGACCAGTTTCAGATGATGCTTGGAACTAAAACACTCCTGAGCTTCAATCTCCAACTCTTGTATTCAGTGCAACCAACATTTAGTGCAGTCAGGAAGATATTAAAAATATTTCTTGCCTCAAAGCCACCGCTGGGATTCCCTCCCTCCGCTAAGTTTTTGTGATCATTTTGCAGAAAACACACCAATATTTGTGGTTACTCTCCCCTAAGGGAGATTGCCGTGTCAAAAAATACACCGTTAATAATAAAGACAAATAAAATATACTCGTAACAGAATGGGCTCCACTCTTGGTTTGCCTTTATTATCACAGACAACTCAGTGTTGGGCCCCCACCTCAGTGACTGGCAACTTGCATCAGTCCCTTCTCCTCTTTATATCGGGATTCTAAACCATCACATCATAGAAAGTTCACCTTACGTTTCCTTTGATGTTTCAATTCTCTGTTCTTTCAGTGATGAAAAACATCCATAAATTTCCATCAGTCCGCAAGTCCTCTTCGTTCTCGTCTCTGGTTCTGCTCCTGACCACATGGTCTGTTGGTCTGTATCAGCGCCATCAAGCCATCCATCCTCAAACTGCCTCTTTTCTTCATCTGTCTGCCGCAACCTTTCCTCGATGTTCCATTTAACATTTCTGATTCCTGAGAAGTTCATCTTAGAACCTTTAAGAACCATTAAAAGCAGACATTTTAGTCATCACACACTTCTTACGTCTCTGTCAGTTAAAATATTATAATCATCTTAAACATACCTAAACTAAAGGTTTCAATCCCGGGATTTACCCAGGGATTAACTAGGCTGGGTTTTTGGCCATGCTGAGGGCTGTACATGGGACCAAGGAGCAGCACAGCGTGATGCACCATGACTTCAGCCTGGCTGGACACCTGCAGCCTCACTTTACTAATTTCTAGTCTCTTATTCAGGATCACAACGGCCATTGATTTCTCATTTCTATGACCTCATTTATCTGTGAGTAATAATTAAAAGAGATTTTTAATCTATTTTGTAACAGTTCACAGGAAGTAATGCTTTCAAAGCCACTCGTCAATAGGTTGAATAAGGAGCGTGTTTGTTTCTCTGTGCACACATACGTGTGCTGGTCCTCTGGCTGTCACCTCAGTGGAAGCAGAGCTCCGCCGCTGGGAGCTGAAGGAAACCTCAGCATGAACGCAGGACAAAAGCAGTTGGAGATGAGCTTCAACCTCTTCTTCCCAGAGCTGACTCCCTCCACCACGTAGGCTCGGCGTGTGTTCCACCACCGTGCCGAGCTCTGTTTAGGTTCAGAGAGCCCTGCCGATCTGCAAACACCTTCCTCGGGAGGCAGATCCATCGCCTTGGGCCCACAGGACTCCCCTGTGCAGCGAGGGCGAGAGAAGGGCGGAGGATTTTGACCATTATTGACCAGGTTTCAGTTGACCAGAGGACCTGGTACAACCTGGAAGACCAAGGAAGGGGTCAGGGGAGCTGCGCAGCGCAGGGTTGAGCACGGAAGGGAAGCTGTGCTGAGCTCAGAAGAGGGAGGACTGCTTGACACCCCTCAGTTAGGCAGCTCTTTCAGGGCTCAGCCTCTTCAGTCAGTTGAGCTGGGTTTACACCGCAGTGTTGCACCTCTTGGATTAAAAATCTTGGGCTTGAGATGGCTGCATGAAAACAACCTGAAACGGGTTGTCTGAGTTCCCCGTCTCACACTGAGCACACGTTTCTCCTGTTAGCCAAGCCCCTAACCTTCATCAGGGGGCACCAGTCACATTCCCTTTTGCACGGAGCCTGCTGCTGAAGTGACATTTGATGGTTTTGTATCATTTCCATCATTTACTTCCCATTCTCAACCAACGGCAGCTGGAGAAAGAGGCACCTGGATGAGTTACAGCTCCCCGCCACAGACAAATTGCTGGATTTAAATGAACAAATGAATCAAATAGGAATTAATAAAGCACCTTTGTCCTGGCCCAGCCCCAATTTCACAGTTTTTGTGGTTCATTGGGGAAGAGAGGATTGACACATCCTCCAGGGTACCAGACCTCACCTGCATTTATTCGGTGCTGTCATGTGTGGGATTAGGAGGCAGGACACACCGAAGGGGTGGCTGGCAGGACGTGGTTAATGTGGGCATACGTAAAGTGTCTCACTATAACCCTGTGTTGTGTATTTAAAGGAAAGAGCAGAAAAAAGAGTAGAAGAAAAGCTCCTACGTCTGTCACTAAAGCTAGAACGAATGGATGAACCCCAAAAATACGAAAAGCAGTTGAACCAGATGAAAAGTGGTGAAAAAGACCTGCGTGCAAGAATCACCAGATTTGAAAGACGGGTCTGGAAGGAGCTTGAGGAAATGCAGAATGAGTACAGATCAGGTGAGGATAGGCTCTCATGCAATTTGTTTCTAAAATAAATTTCTACAGTAACTTGCTGCTCCAGGAAAAAGCTTTCCAGTAAAATATGCATTAAAGTGACTATTTCTCTCCCCAAACCCTGTATAGGGGTGTATGGACTAGCCCGCTTGTCTTTGCAAACAGCCAGCAAGACATTTGCACATAGGTTGCTCTTCCTTCCTCAGAGTCTCAAGGTAAGATCATTTAAAAGGCAATTTCATAACCTGTTTTCCAGATTTTTTTAGAGCACCCGTTTCTCCTGTTAAGCCCTAACGTTTGTCGGGAGGCACCAATCACATTCCCTTTTCACGGAGCCTGCTGCTGAAGCAGCGTTTGATGGTTTTGTGGCATTTCCATCCTTTACTTCCCATTCTCAGCCACGGGCAGCTGGAGAAAGAGGCACCTGTATGAGTTACAGCTCCACGCCACGGCGTCGCGCCAGCGAAGGGGAGCGGTTAGATCACGCGGCAGCTGCTTCCCACGGGGACAGTCACACCCGTGCATCGCACAGGGCATGAACGGCTTCACCACTCCGAGATGATCCTGGCTGTCCAGCTTTCAGCAGCAATTAGAAAGGCTTTCACCTGGCACTATGCACACAGCCTCCACGAGGAAGACTGTTCTTGTTGTAATCTGTCCTGTGTGACTCAAACCTCACAGAATCACCCAGGTTGGAAAAGCCCCTGAAGCTCCTCCAGCCCAACCATGACCCTCCCCCTGACCGTTCCCAACTCCCCCAGACCCCTCAGCGCTGGCTCAGCCCGACTCTTCAACCCCTCCAGGGATCCCGGGGACTCCCCCCTGCCCTGGGCAGCCCATTCCAACGCCCAACAGCCCCTTCTGCACAGAAATCCTTCCTCAGAGCCAGCCTGACCCTGCCCTGGGCAGCTCGAGGCCATTGCCTCATCTACTGCAACTCTCCACTTGCAGCAGATGATGGAAATAGTGGAGGCATCAGGTTATCCAAAAAAACAACTCAGCCCACTCTCCAAGGGAACAGATGGCTGAAAATCATTACATGAGGGCTTCACATCTTACATGTTCTCGCTTGAAACTCAAGCGTCTGGTTCTTGTCTTCCAAGCTGTCTGGGATCAAGGACCCCAGTGCTTTGCTTCAGCTCTGATTCCTTCATCAGCTGCAACCCACTTACAAGCCTTGCTGCAAAGCCACAGCAAACCAAGCTCTAAATCAGGTCAGGTTTGTGTGCAGCTTGACATGGGAAGGCTTGGCTGTCTACGAGACCATCGGAGTGAGCTCAAGACAACATCTCAAAGCAAACTGTGGCTAAAAAATTTCAGAATAAAAGTTTCTGTGGCTGAAAGGGGAGCGTTCTTAACCTCAAGGCCTTGCCTGCGGAGACTAACGACAGAGTAGATGTGTTTAAACCAAACTCTGGCTGTGCTCATGTTCAAACATGAAGCCAAGGATCGCTGTTTCCCATGGCAGCCCTCTGGCAGTGGCTGACCCCCAAAAAAGGGGGAAAAGAGGCCACTGAAGTGGTGCGGAGCAGCACGAAGGGCAGAGGCAGCCTCTCAGCCTGTCTCGGCAGCTGGTTGTGCTTCAGCACAGATTGGCATCTTGGGAGTCAGAGACATGTCTGGAATTTATAAAATTCTAAGCACCGTGCAGGGATTTGGTTGAACTATATAGACTTAGCAGTGACAAAATTAATCCATATTAAACAACTGTTCGAAAAAGAAAAACATGTCAACAGCTGCCATGTTACAACAAGCACTTTAAGAAAGAAAAAGAGGAAGAGAATTAATTTTAATCCTTGCTAGTAAGCCTATGTGACACGCTGGACAAATGTAAAGAACTACTACGCTGTAATTTGAAAGTTATTTCGATCTGGTAACAGGTAGGTAACGGCAGTCTGAAACTCTGCTTTTCCAGTCTTTACTGACAATATTTGACTGCACAGTGGTCCAGAAAAGGTGCATCGGGTGCTCTGTAGCTCTCTTTTGGAAAAAAGCATGTCTGCACACTCCCATCTCACCTTTTCATGTTCCTGTACACAGGCACAGAGATGCTTCACTGGTGAAGCTGAGCTCCCATTCTCCCCGAAGGGCACAACAAAACTGCCTCCACCTCGGGTGAAGCATAATCTTCACTTAGATCTGCTACAACTCTGGGAGATCCACAGCACAAACTTTGCACAAACAGAGTCTTTGATTCAAAGCGAGGATTGCGGACTTAAAAAAACGCCAACCAAACCAAACCCCCAATGCTCGATGAAAAAACAATGCGCTTTAAGGCTAACAATACTCTTGGTTTTAAGGAGATAGTATTTTCTTTGCTCCACACCACAAGTCTGATGTCAACTGCTGCTTGTGGCTACACGTAGTCGCGCTTGGTGTTGCCCAATGTATTGGAAAATACAATTCCTACAGCAAGGAGCTTGCAACCCCAGCAGCACACATCCACGGTATTCAATAAAATGATCAAATAGATTGGATTTAATGTAGTCTGTATTAAACGCGGGTCAGAGATTGCAAAGAAAAAGAATCTTTCAATGCATTGAAAGCAACCACTAATTAACCGTTTCTATTCCTCTACCAGGATTTCGAACCATTCACGAGTCTCTGGAGCTGCTCAAACAAATACAGAACACAAGGCTGAAACTTGAAAAAAGAAAATTCATAAAGACATGAAAAAGATACAGTGAAAGTGATCTCCTAGAAGAGTGAACACCAGGAGCAAGCCTTGTCCACTCTTGCAGGTGCTCCCTCCAGTGAGAGGCAGCCCGGAGTTCAAGACTGGACACTGACTTTGGACACCACTGATTTTGTTTTCCCCTGTCCCTGTAGGATGTTGCTAGTTATGATACCGTGCAGCGACAAAACCAACAACTCTGTAACACCATGTGCAAGGTTTAAGCCTTGCGGGATCTGAGAGCACGTTGCCATTGCCCACCCCAACCCGCGCCGGTCGGGCTGGAAGTTAAACATAGACCCTGGCTAAAATAACAAGGAATTTAATACGAGTGATAGAACAATCTGAGTAACAACAGTATCAATGGTAACAACAATAAACAGCAATAATGGTGAACAAGACAAACGATATACAGAGAAATACCGCTAAATGGTCAAGGAGCAAGCTCGGCGCGTGTATGGCAAAAACCAACACCAGAAGCGAAAGTAAAAAGGCTCTGCCCCTGGACCTGACACCAGCATGGTATGAATAACCCAGCTGGAGATCCCTTCCTCCTCTCTCTCTCTGCTGGGGAAAGCTGAACCAGGACACACCAACAGTCACTTTCACACCAATTTTACAAGAGAGTACTCCACTGTAGAAGAAAAGTTAAGCTTTAAGGATTGACTTTGAATTTTACGAGCAGATTTCTTACAAGAGTATTCACAGTAAAGGACTTTAATAAAACAAATACTCAGTTATTAAGTGTAGTTAGTCCAGCCCTGGCATAAGCTAAATTGGTTTTAGACTGGTGTGACTACTGAAATCAGATTTAATAAATTCCTCCAGCTGCACACAAGGTGTAGGTAGTAACAGCATTATGAAAACTGGTATCAGAACATCTACTGATGCATGATTTGCACCTATTATTATAATAAATCACTGGGTCATTAAAAGTAACTGATAAGCTGGGTACAGGTGACAAAATGCAAGTTAATTATTAGCAGATGCATTGTCAAGAGGGTTTATTTCTCATTTCTGTTTGGCTGAATAAAAGAGGCAGTTTGCAGTAGAACACTCAGAAATGTCACTGACATAGTGTTGGGTTTTTTTCTTCAAAATACAAAAAACCCAGTCTGGAAATAAGCAGAAAAACTCTGGGAGCAGGGCAAAAGAAATGTATCAGTATAATTTCCCAACAGGAGCTAATGTAAGTTCTTTGGCAGGGAGGGCAAAAAGGAGCTCACAATGTAACTGCAATAGAAACCTGAGTTTCTGCAGTACATTTGTTTCCAGAAAGCCTAATACCGTCCACTGCCCAGAGAAGAAAATTCATAAAGGGTTCAGATGATCCTCCTCCGATAATCCGCATCTCAATACTGTTGTGCTTTTTGCTCTACAGAAAAGCAGATTTCTGAGCCGTGGATTTCAGGTGGCTTCTCCAAGAAGCCAGACCTGCACAGTGTGATGGCCAGAACCCAACCGACGGAATGCCACCTTGGCAATTAACCACATTGCTCCTGCAGGCAGAAACTTCAGTGTAGTTAAACTTAATCCAGGAAGTAAAAAGTCCTAGAAATCACTCGCAGCTTGACAAAGACAAAGAACAGCCACCAAAGTCACAGACATTTCCTACAAGCAGCAGGGAACCAGCAATGCTGAAACCCCGACAACGTGCAGCAGTTTCTGAGCTGCTCTGAATCTGCGTTTTGGTCTCACCGTTCACTCACCGGGCCGTACAGCACAGCCAAATGTTGCTTTATTCAAGCACCAATTTTATGGCAGAAAGGTCTGAGGGCCTAATGATAAATTCGTATCCCACATGAATACATATTTAGAACATTGCTACTGTCTGAGTGACTTCACTGCGTGAAGGATTTACCTTGGTATTTATTGTTTCACACTGTGACTAAACTCAAAATGACCCTTCTCTCCCCTGAGAACACCAAATTTAAAAGTTATTTAACTGCCAGCTGTTCAGTTAAATCAGTAAAAAGAAAATTAACTGGGAGAGAAGGAAAGCTAAAGTCTATACAGTCAGGATGATATTCAACTGGGCTGAGGGATTAGGGATGTACTTTTCCTTGCAAAAGTGCATTTATGGCACATTATAACAGTTCTTGTGGGTTTTTTTTACCTATGATTGTTTTTTTTTAATATTTCTTTTAAAATACAAAAGGTATCAAACAAAAGCACTGGGGAATGAGAAGTACAGACCTGTGTTTTTCTTAAACTCCAAGGTTAGGAAGACTATCAAAATTAACACAGTTACCCCCTGTAGTTTGTGATACTGCTCAGAGAGAAGCTCAGAAGCTGAGCAGAAATCCAACCCAGCAGTTCTTGAGAAATACAGAGAATGAGATGAACATGTATGAACAAAATAAATAAATAAAATTCTCAGAAGCTAGCCCCTGACTCGCAGTTGTACAAGTGGAAATGTAAGAAGCACATAAAAACCTTCATACCTGAGGTGGCAAAAAGTTCTACCTTGAAATTAATTAGATCTCGTTCCACTCCGCCTTTAGCATAAGCCAACATCATAAAACAAATTACAGTTGGGAAATGTTATTTTCTCCCCTTAATGGCCACAGACGCCGATCGCACGACTTCCCAGGCAGTGAAATCCATCAACAACTCTCTGTGCCCCAACTCAGTGGTGTTTATCTGCCTTCACGCAGTACTTTGCATTCTAAAGCTGAGCTCCACAAGAATATAGAGGGCTGTCTCAACCTGCATGAATTTACAGTGTTTTCAGTGTTAGAGCAGACCTTCTACAAAGTGCTGATTTTGTAGAGGCTAGACACTGTCAAAAAACAGGGAGGACAAGATTTTTACCTCATACTGTTGGTCTTTACGTAAGCTTAAACTCATGTTCCCCGAGTGCTTTTTACCGAGTAGGTGGCAGAAGTATGCGTTGGGTTTTCTTCCTACAGGGCACGTAACACAGCTTCGGGCTGTGTAATTATCTTGTTCAAGGAGTTCAGCACTGATCACAGGAAAAGAAATTTCATGGTCTTCTGAAGAGAAAAAGCACTCTACTGGTTTTTTGGATTATTTTTTTTTTCCTAATAGGGAATATTCACAGTTGACAGTACCTCAGCTGGTTTCTCTGGCCTGTTATTTGTCTGGTCTCCGAGGTGTTAGAAAGCAGTTCAGGTTTAGTGCTGAACAAAGCACAGACTAACGCCAGGCTGGTGATGACGGCTCTCACACCGCAAGAGTAGGAGGCACAAATATCAAGACCATACGCCAAGGATACGAACTATAGGCTGCAAGAACTTTTCCAGGCTTTTAATAGCAGCAAGCTAAAAAAAAAAGTTACAGTTAGTCTTGAGAGTCACGAGTCTGGCTTTTGCAACGTTCCCTTTTTAATATCTGATAGTTCGAGATGACGTGACAGGAGGCTGTGAAGGGAACCACAATCAATCTAAATTTACAAAAAAAAAAAAAACCAACAAAAAACCCCAAACCTTTTTAAGGAATGTATTTTGCATTGAGGTGGGTAGGAGAACGAAAGTGTGGGAGACAAGGAGGGATTCTTGCCATTCAGAGAGGTTTCCACGCACTGCCACAGAGTAGAAACCCTGGCTTACTGAGCTCAGTTTCCTCTTTAACCGACAGTGGCGCGCTCGTGGCTCTCAGCCGCACTCCAGAGATCCCCGTGCGTGGCTGGTGGCAGACGCCCCCCACACCCCAGCTCAGCATCCTGCTTTCTTCAAGCCCAAAACCAACAAGTTCCAAAACCAAAGTGTACGCTCAATGCAGCCCCGCTGCCCCTGGAATGGCCCTTTCTCCTCTCTAACACAGAGCCATACCAGCTGTTTTAAGACTTTGGTGGCCAGATAGTAATTTTAAGAAACTTTAAACCAGGAAACAGAGCTATCGCGACTCTTGTCAACAGCTTGAAAACCCTAATGGTAACACTAACAGATTAGAATCACTGCTTCTTTTTTTTTTATTTTCATGTACATAGAAGCAAGATGAAATCACGCCTTTCAAACCACTGTCATGATTCATCCAATTAAGCAGTCAGCAGCAGAACTACCAAGACATAAATAGAGCCTGTTATACACATTTATAAATACGACCCTGTCCCTGATGATCACAAGCTTTTCTTGATGGGAATGTTTACTGAAGCCTACAGTCAAGAGGATACACTGCTGTAAGGAAGATCAGCTAAAAAAAAAAAAAAAAAAAAAAACCACACATGAAGTTCCAAGTTGATTTGGGTTTCAACTCCAAACCAAAGCGTATCAGAAGAATAAAAGTATTTTAAATCTCTGACTGTTTTACAGTATCTGGGAGAGAACAAGAGTTTGTTGCTAGTTAGCCAGTAAGATTCTGTGCCAAGAAAACCTTGCATTACAGCCAGTGCAGTTAATATTTTATTTCTGTATGTGGATAAGGGGAGTACTCTCTATTGCCAATAGCACTGAAGTTTCAGTGAGGAAGAAAACAAAAGCAAAATTCAGGGTTTTCCTTTCATATAAAGCATACGGTGGAACCGATATAACCTGCTTTTCTTCAAAAAGAAATAAAACTAAAGACAAAGTCCCAGCTGATGCAATAGAAGACCAAAACCAGACACAAACAAACAAAGCCCAAACCACATTGTTCCTAGAGATGGACTGATTAATTTTCATGAACAGAAGATGTTTCACTTGAGATGGTCCATACTAGGCACTTGATGACAATGTCTCATTTAGCTGCAGAGCTCTAACATCTCCATTGGCTTTGGCATTTTCTACAAGTACCTGCAGAGAAAAAGAGGAAAACAAACTGTGAAAAAATGAGATTTTAATAATTTTATTGTTAGTTTTACCATCAATCTGTAATGCATTTTACTTCCTGCTACGCAGTTTCCCTAAAAGACTGAGTAACCCATAAGCCCAGATAGGCAATATTCAACACTACACATCAGCTTGCTTAAAATATCAGGCACTTAAGACCCCCACCCTGTAGTGGCCTGCTAAGCCTGTACTTGCTTGCATCACACTGCTACAGCATCATTTGTTACTCGAGGTTGAGTCCAAGTCTGACAAGTAAGTTACCTGCTGGCAAAGAAACAAGCAGAGCTAGACGAGACCTATCTCCCTGCCGACACACGCTTGCCTCCTGCTAGTACATTAGTATCAATCTAAATTTGCCAGACAGGAACATTCTCTGCAGCTAGTTAAGCAAAACTGCCAAGTTATCCTTTTTCCTCCCCCATTTAAATTTACCCTTCCCTTGATTTATTTTCCACACCCCGCAAGAGCAGCTTTTCCACTAGTTAAAAAAGCTCCCACTCAGCCTAATGCTCACAGATGTTCATAAGCTTCTGGCACTTCTCTTGTAATCCAATCACATAAAACATATTGAAAAGGAAAACCACTAAGTAGTATCAAGCAAATCTTCAGCCGTTATTAGTACTGTACTCATTGGTAGGAAGTACAGATGACTTTGCATGAGCAAGTGCAACAAGATCATACCACGATCATCCAACCTCATTAATTCTGGTGTTTTTATGAACCTGCGTGTCTGTGCATGGACTTTTATCAAGGCTCAGCCTACCTGATGTGCTGTACCTCCAAACATACTTTGTTAGGGATTCAGTTTCCCCAGGGAACAGCTGTTAACCAGGGCAGAAGAGGGTGTCATCGTGCGGGAAGCAGCAGTGAGGAGGTTTTTGGGACTGTATTCAGAGTTTAAGTAGCAAAGTGATTCCAATTACAAGCCAAACTGAATCACCCTGTTTTGCAACCCATGAGAGCGCTGTGTGGATAGGTGAGTTTGACCAAAGCCATTTCTGAAGTGCTGTCAGAAACTAATGTGTCATTGACTCTGTACTGAAAATAACACACTATTACAGACACAATAAAAGTCTTAAGTACAGAAAGCACAGCACTCCACTGCTGAGATCTTCTGGGTCAAGGATATCACACTGTTCCAGAAAGGCTAGGGGAAATTATACGGTTTTAGTGTAGCAATAAGTTCTGGTAAAGTTCTGATAAAATGGTCCTCATGTCTACTGAAAAGTCACTAGCAGAATTCTTGCCAGTTTGGATGAGAAAGAGATTTTTCTGTTTGTTTTTCATTAGTATTGCATGGAGGAATGGAAGACTGTCAAATAAACGACAAAATTTCAAAAACTGAGGTATGTTTTGTCAGCACAGAATCCTTAAACATTGCAGCCTCATGAGCAGGTGAGCCAGCAACCCCCCAGCCTCCCTCTACCCCACTTCCAAGTTGCAATCACGATAATCACTGTAAATAGATTGAATTTCTGTTATAAACCAGACTCTTACATCTATTAATTCATAATCATCTTTGGCATACAGATGTCGCAGGAGGTACCAGCGCGCCACCGACACTACGGTTTCTGGATTCCCCGGTTGATAAACCACTCTTTCCAACATCCGACGAGTCTCCCTGGAAGCACAACCAAAACATAATCCAAGTGTGACTGTCTAGGTTGTGTGTAATGTGCCTGTGTCCCAGAGCAAGCAACAGCGATCAGGAGTAAATCAAGGTTAAATCCTTATTTCCACACCACCCTGGAAAGGGAGGGAGCAGAGATGGCCACTCCTTTCTTACCTATGTAGATGCACTTAAAAAGCTTAATCCATTACACTCAAGTTAGTGCTTTAACTAGCAAGTAACCCAAATTTGATCAACATCGCAGGTTTTATGACTGCTGCAAAAACACGACAAACATCATGCTACCTGTGAGCTCAGCTCAATCTCCAATTTCGGTATGTGATCCGCTGAGCCAGTGCAGCAGGTATTCTCCAGTTTAAGAGCTAAGAAATACATCTTTTGGAAGACAGTGCACCTGAGACACACAGGTACTGCAACAAACCTTAATAATCCCAACAGAATTGTTATATTATACACTGATATATTTAATCCTGGCGCTCACAAAAGGTACTGCAGTTCCTGCAAACACAGTGGCAAGATGTGAAATTGCTGAAGAAAACTGGAATAAAGTGCTGTTTGGCTGATACCACCTTTCAACACTGCCAGCTTATACCTAACCAATACAGTTTTCAAAATTCCCCGTTGTCATTAGAAATGTGGTAAAAACTGGCAATTAAGTTTAGGGATGTCACATTAATTCACTGGTGCTCCATCAGCTTTGGCTCTGTTTCAAGAATTCTGTCCTTTATAACTAGTGTAATTGTCCAGTACATTGTGATTTAACAGGCTGCTGAGAAGTTACATCTGGTTTTTGCTTGCTATTTGTATCTGAGATTAATTTCTCCTTTCAGGATTTTGAAACATCTAGGCAGATCAATCAGATCCTGTGATATATCTTACTGTTCACATGTTAACATCTGAAATTGTAGTTAAGTTTTGAGCCCGATTTTGTTATAACCTACAACTATCACGATCACATCAGGCTGCCTGTCACCTTCTTAAAGGCCCACTGAGAAAGCAAGCCAGTTTGTCAGAATTACCTATAAAATCAGGTGAAATTATTGAACAAAAACATCAAGAATATTCCAATTTTCCACAGTTTAAGCAAAAATACTGCAGAAGACGAACTAGACATAATAACCAAACTCACATTAGGAGGCTTCCAAACCCCCATCCCCCAAATCTTCCTCTCCTTCCTCAAAAAGCCACAATGAGCACCTGGTAGTTAGGAATGAACCAACTTTGACTGTGAGCCCAGTTTAAGATCAAAATGAATCCCAGCAGTACATAAGGTAGTGGTATCTGTTTCCACTGTGCTATTTAAGAAGATCTTTGAGAATGTATAGTTTTCACGATTAATTTATTTAGGGAACAAGCTATTAAAATAAAAGTGACAGCTATTCTTCTTTTGGTAGGAAGGTCATATTCCTTTTTTTGAGAAAAGGAGGAAGACTCTGCTGTGTCCTGCTCCCCACACTAACTCCTTCCCCCCTTTTCCTTTTAACTGCCATACTACTTCAAGAATTAATTCCCATTTTCAATTTTCTTTTAGGTTTTGGCATTAGATCTGAGGAGAATGATCACTTGTACTTTTACACAGTGTGCTTCATTTCAGGTTAACAGGTTGTGCATACCTTGCTCCCATTTTGCGATTATACTGGAGCAGTGCTTGTAGGAGAGCTGCCAGGGGGCAAAAAGAAAGTTTCAAAGCTTCAGTTGTTGCCTCCTGAACCAAGGATAGCCAGTGCTCATTTGAGACATTAGCCTATGATAAAAGAGGAAAAAAAAAAAAAAGAGGAAAGGTTTTATTGTAGTGTGTCGTTTAAATCAGTTTTTGTTTGCAGTTCTCTAGTGAACAGGTTTAATTCAAGCTGTTCTGAGTTTTATCAAGTATTTGGCAGGTTAGAAAGAGATTTATTTAAAAAAAAAAAAAAAAAAAAAATGGAAAAGTCATGTTAAATATTCTAAACGTTCTTGCCAGCATTCCACTTGCTCATTTATGCAAAGAATCCTTTTAGTTTTTCCATACATGTTTTAATAATGCTTGTTTTATCACAAACTTTTGTTTGCTCTTCAGCTTGCAAATTCTCATCCCATATTCAAGACTATTCTAGAATGTAGAATTTATCCCCAGAAATGACATCATATTATACCAGAAGTAAGAAACAACTCTAAGATGGAAATTACCTAATAGAGCAACTACTGAGCAAATCCCTGTATCTTTTGGCTTAAGAAAAATCTTATTATCCCCATTGTGTTCAGACAGCATTCAAATTACTGTACTTGAAGGTGAGCCCAAATTTTCATTTGGACAGATAATTAGGAGACAAGCAATTCTCAAAACACAGAGCTTTCTTGGATCTGAGCAGGGTTTTCACCAGACTTTTTCACATTTCATTAAGCCAGTGCAGATTAGGGAGGCCAAACAGAAATCCACCATCAGCTGCTCTGCTCATGCAAAAAGCAGAGATGAAATAATAAAATTTGTACTAATTACATTTTTAGACAAAGTCTGGTACATTCTCAGGCAACTCAAGCCAGCCTTTGAAGTAGTAGTATTAACTAAGTTAGAAAATACCTTGTGACCTGTGGAGACATTTAGGAGCTAAAGGGAACAGGAGTGGAACAGTAGAAAATGGACAGAAGAACCATGGGAGCAAAATTCCTGCCACTTGTGAAATTCTGCCTTTTGAAGCATATGGCTTGTGAGAAAGAAACTTATCTGCACTGAAGGGGATTCTCTTTTCCCACTAGAGCAACAGCTTTTATCCTTGGTAAAACTAACTGCCCTTTCTTATATAATCACTCAGGATAGATGGGGTTCCTTTGCCTGACTTTGATTACGGTTGTTAGGTCGATCATCTGTTAAAAAATATGTGAAAAAGCGTTAGCCAAGATCACAGCAGTATCCACCTTTTACACCAGGCTTTAAGGAAGTCTGGCAGCGCACTTCAAGCTTCTAAAGTGACAATGCTTAAAGAGAACAGACACTTGCCAAGGATTTGAGTTAGGTTCACCTGGCCCCTCAGTGCAAGGAGTAGAATAATTTTCTTTATGCCACAAAGTACACTTCTCTTACATTGTCTTTACACTTCAAGGCAAGGCACCATATATAGAAATGACCACACAGCATAAAGTTACTTGAAACTTGACTGAAGTCTCCAGGCACCAGCGCAGGAAAAACGGATTATTAAGGCCGTTGTCTGAACAAGAGGATAGAGACTTGAAGGGTATGTCAACCTGGATGATCAAGCTGAATCTGCTTTTAGAGAAATAAGCCTTATTGAACAAGCTAGCCTCTTTAAGGACACAGCGGTTTTATGTGATTATTTCAAAGCAATTTCTCTTACAAAGAGATATGCTAGAAACAGTACACTGCCCCTTGCAGTCTCATTTTATTCTCTATTCAAAAAATGCAAACTCATTTAAACAGGGGCTTCATCTAAAGACTGCAGATGCCCTACCTCCCACAAACTCCTGTTAAATCATGCAGTTATGTAATTTTGATTATCCTACCATGCAGATCTCCAGTGCGAGCATAGCTAGCCTGAGCAGACTGGAAAACTTCCCATTCCAGCTGCCCTGCTGTGACGCCAACTGCAGACTCTTCCTGTAACACATCTCTGCTCCAATCATCATTCTTTGAGACTGATACACTTTTGCCAGCCACTGAAAATAAACATCCAACACAATCAGTTATGGAGCCACCAAGATACCCATCCATTCAGTAAGATCATTCAGTTCAGTTTATGAGAGTACCACAGTATGAGGTAAAACACCCACCCACCCAGCCCTCATTCCAAAGACCCGCTGTGCACCACCCTGGGGGAACATGTAGCCTGCTGCAGCAGCGTCATGATTTAAGCTCCCCTGAGCACCCATCGACAACTGTTTGACGGCTGTGTTCATGTGGGCACCGCTCACAAGTGAACAAATAACACGACTGGCTCTGTGAAAGTCATCCTTCAGATGAGAAGGGCGCTGTGTGGTGCCTCATTGGTCTCTAAATGTTCTGTAGAGATGAAAAGGTGATTTTTCCCTCTGGAACAAAGGTTTTTCCAGCCCATCTGAGTAATGCCAGGAACATGACAGACTTCAGTGTGAGCCTGAGCTCCGATGATGGCTTGGGCTACAGAGTTTCTGACCCAGCAGGGCCATGCTGGAGGAGCTGGATGGGGCTAAGGCAGAGGACACCAGGATCTCTGCAGAGTTTCATGCTCCTGCTGCCTGCTATGCCAGCACAAGATGTCCCAGATTTGCTCACGAAAAGAAGGAAAGGATTCTAACTCCTCCCTCTTCAATTCTGTAGTCATGTCACATTTTTTGAAGCAGATGTAGCCACAAGCTTGCAAATCCCCGACAAGTATCAAGATGCATAAGCCACATTTAGAAATATTCTTTGCTGGATCACCAAGCAAACAAAGCAACTTCTCAGAAAAAAAAACCAATTCCCTTGCTTTTAAGCAAAGGTCTTTATACTTTTCCTAGCTAAAGACTGCCTGGTGCTAGAAGGGAGTAAAATTCTTAATCCCATCTGATGCATGTAAATTATTTATCCTTAAGAGGAGACACACCAGAAAGTATTTATTAGCATTAATGAGACTGTGCATCCTTGGCATCAAGCTGCAGGACTGCTTGCTAAAGTAAAACATCTGTTCCTGTGCAGAAAAAAAAAATCTTTCCTTGGCCTCAGCTCTTCGCAGCTGAAGATATCTAGCACTGAAGACGTGAAGGAGAAGAGAACCCTTATGTAAAAGCACAATGGCAGCTCTGCCAGATCAGCTTTTCTTTATTTTCCTGGTAAAACACAGCACAAGCAGAACAGCCATCAAATCAGCAGTTCAGCAGCGCTCCTAAACCTTGCACAACAACCATTTAAACAAAAGCCAAAAACTTAAGCAAAAAGCAAAGTTAATGCCCCCCCTATCTTTGTAAAACTGTGAGCATCGCGATGGACACTTCTGAGTAAGGCAAAACATTTATCTGACTCAAGAAGTCCAGAGCCAGAAAACATAAAAGCATAGATCTATCTATTAGGAACAGATGCAGCAGCCAGGCTTTTTCAGAATGCCATCCAAGCTCTGAGAAGTATCTTTTTTAATTAAAGACTGGAAAGACCTTTCTCAGAGGCATCTTATCTGTGGCCTGGATTAAAAAACCAATACAAACTAACCCTTTCCTTCTCCCTAACCACATACACTTTCAGTTCACTTCTTCCCCCTGCTCATAAGCAAGACACCTGGCTATGCAAGGCATGCCTGAAGAATGTCTATAAGCCCTAATTCCATTTTCAACATATATTACTAAAACAGAAGCTACAATCATGTCTTGCATACCCCATACTTTGCATATCCCATCTGAATGAGTTCTGCAGTTCAGAAAGATGAAGTCTCACAAGCCAAAGAAAAGTGTGTCCAAAAAAGCACATTTCCACAAATGATACTCATGTTTCAGAAGGGAAGAGGATCTGCAGCTTTGTAACAAGTGAGATAATGATCTCCTCACCAGCCTTGCACTGGTTTTCTAAGACTGAAATCTTCTTTAGTGAATCCTACCACAAACAGGGCTTTATCTGTTGGACAGGCAGAGGGAGAGACATAAATCCTGCAACTACATAAAGGACTAAAAGCTCACAGAATTTTTCTAAACAACGTGCTGTTAACATTGGTAAAGAGTGACTGTAACTAACAGCAACGGCTCGGAAATAAATAAATAAATACACTGCATCACCAGAAAGATCTTTTGGCATGTGTGAGACAGACTTCTCAGATTGTCTCACGGAAGGAGTGTATGAAACGAGTTTATAGCACTTTCGTATTAACTAAAAATGATTTCTCGTGATGCCACGATGGAAGTGAGTGAACACTGTTACTGGGAGTGATTTATCTTCCCTGCAGACTCAACTTACTCAAAAGAACGGTGACACCTGATGTTTGGAGATTATGGAGAAATTCAGGTTTTCAGACCCTGGATGAGGAACTGTATATTGCTATTTTAGGAAGCCATTTACTTCCACCTATTCTTGTGGGTTATGAAATATTTCACTGTTTTCTGCTCACATGTCAAGTCACAGGCCTCTAAAGACACAAGTGGCAGGGGTTTATCTCAACTTTCTAACTCTCCAGCCTCCATATGTGCTTGCTCTTACTAACAGTCCTTATTACTTCAACTACTAAAATTAATATAATGGTGCAACTTTATAATGAACCGAATATAAGCTGTTTTTTCTGTCTCTGACACTGTCAGTGAACAAATAAAAGCAAGCAGTGAAATTGTCACCCTCCTACAGTGCATACTCCACTGAGTGCGGCACATCAAAGTCAGGGAGAGGATCCACACTTACTTGCCAGGCTGTGACTGAAGTTGAACTGGTCATGACTGTCTTGTGAAGCTCCTCCAGGATGTTGTCTGGAAGTTCTTTGTGAGACTGCAACAGCTGCTCACACTGAACTTGTCTCAAAAGCAAAAACAGAGCTGGGTGCTCAGGGCGGCTTTGTAAACCCTAAAACCAAAAAGGCAGCTCAATGTGATACCAGAATTACCATTTCCAAATATCAGAAGATGCTTTGATTTTTCCATTTCACTCTTTACAAAGAACAGCACTGAAAGCATTCTCAGGATGCTCGCAGCATGGCATCTTCCTCCTGCTCTGCACAAAGGAGCATTCCAGGAACAGATAACTTTTTTTCTCCAAATACATTTGATGTCTATTCTAATTTTGTACATGTCCAACCCTTAGAGGTTTCTGAAAGACAGATAGGTAAACAGCAGACCTCTGCATCTCCTCTGGATTCACAATCATTACAAGTTTTGGGCTAATGGAGGCAAAAACCTGTCTCATGGCAGTAAGTGGTCTTGTGTATGTTCCAAGTGATTTCATTTCTACTAGCTAAGGTGGTTTTATTCTCACTGGAACAGAAACACTTTACCAGACATTTCTTGTTCAATAACAGCAGATATTGATATTTTTCAGAACAAACTCATGCAAAAATGCAGACAGAAAACTAGCCATCTGCTGCTTTATCCTTCTCAGGTGAAGCGTGTGAAGCTTCTGCAGTCATATTACATGTTATTTTACCTGTTCAAATCACAATACTTCTGAGAATTGTAACTCAAACCAGATCTGTTTTAAGAAACACCACCTGTACTTTTCACCCATTTTTTAAAAAACAAAATACATTGCCTCTGAGTCCTTAACAAGCTGCTGCTTTGCAAAGAATGCATGGACAGCAGAGAGTTTCTGAAACACAACAGAAGTTGCTATAATTTCCTGCAATTTCCCCTCATTAACAAGTGTGGAATCACGCTGACTATTTCAAACTGAATGAGTCCAGTGCCTGGCTCACCAACCCTGGTTATATTGCTCTATGAGAATCCTGTGGTTCAAAATTGTCAGAGTGTGTTACTCTTGTTTCTTCACAATTTGCAGGCACACTGACTGTCCTCTCCCCAAGCTATTTAACAAAAAAATCCCCCAAACCCACCATAACCTTCCTCTGTACCCAGATACCACCTTGTATGTCTACAAGTATCTGATCTGTGTTAATGGGAGACAGGTCAATAGACACGCTGGCCAGAAAAGGAAAACTCGTTCCCTCCAAGCAAAGAGACAAGAAAGTACCTCCCCCTTAAAAAGAAGCATCTTCACTGAATCTGTTTGTTTCAGATTTGGTTTGTTTTTTTTAAACTCCCTTCCCCATTAAGACAGAAATGCCTTAAACATGGAGCACATCTGCATGGGATTTGTAGTTTTCCTTAATGAAATTCAGGGATGTGCACTGCTGAGGCCAGTTGCTTTTTTGCTTATGTCTTGCCAAGTCTTCTGTTCATAAACACGTGAAACAGACTCTTGATGCTTGTTAACACCCCAGCTCCCTTCCCCAGTTGTGTTGCCTCAAGACTTTTCTTCATAATAATTAAACCTGTAGCAGCCACTCGTGGCTCTGAAAGGGAATACCACTACAACAGATCAGAAGACACTGAAGTCCCCTGCAAGTTTTCCACTGGGACATTTTGCCCTGAATTTCTGTAATGTTTTGCTTCATAGTGTGTTAAAGAACAACGGCAGGAAGGGCAGACTTAGCTTTGTTGTGTCACACACTGCTTGTTTCAACTATTAACACAGTTGTGGTGTTGCAGAGTATCTCGGGGAGGGGAGAAAATGCCAACACCTATTGCATCTTGTAGCTCTGATGGAACAGACAGCTGCTAATTCAAAGACCACCTTCTTGTAAAATACAGACAAACCAGGACTTCTATACAATTCTACCACACTCTGCCAATATGTTGCCATCATACCTTGGTACAAAGAGCCTCGGCTTCTGAGAGCTTACCACTCTCCTCTAGACTGGTAATAGCTTGACACAGACACCAGTCTTCAAGGGTCTGGATATAATTATGTGGAAGGTTGTTTCCTCCAGCTGCAAAAACAGATAAAACATTTAACCAGATTACTGTGTATGCTGCAGTGCCACACCATGTCACATGCTCTAGACCTGGTAAAGGAGAACTTTTAGGCGTGTTCATCTGACATGGCTTCCTTCATTAGTAGGAACATTAAGAGGTGGTAAAATTAAAGCAAGAAGAGGGGAAAAAAAGAATACACCACTTAAGTTAATGATTTGAGAACAATCAATGGAATTTTAATTCCAGTTTTCAAAACTCTATGCATGCTGAGTAAGTCTGAGGCTGAGGTTATCCCTCTACTGCAAAAGCTAGAGAACTTCAGTACCTCAGCCTTTCCTTGTAAGCAGTGTCGCTGTGCTGAAATACATCCATCCATGCAGGCATCAGAATTCAGAATATTATTTTAAAAAAACATTTGAGGATTTGGAGGGCAACACAAGCTGTGATTAAGTAATTAACCCTAGCTGCACACTAGGATGTAGCATTCTTATGTGATAAAATACAACTGCAACTCAAACAACTACTGAGCAATTCTCAGCTTCTTTGCAAGTTTCTGAAATTCAGAAGAGTACTGCAAGCTTAGAGAATTTCAGTTTTATTTTACTTTTTTAAACTGGAAAACTATAGCTTACTTTTGGCTGAAACTGTAGATACGAGTGTCATCTCTAGATCTGTTCGCTTCGGCTGAGTGTCGTTGAGACAGACAACAGTGTTTTCAGCATGACAGGCTGCCATTAGCACTGCCCAGGCAGCAGGATTATCTAGAAAATAACGGTTAAAGGCAATTCGTGCCCATTCTAAACATGCCGGTAGTTCATTCCGAATGGTCTTTACCAGATTAAACATAAAAACATAGCCATCAATGGAACCACACACTGTAAGTAAGAGATAGCAAGAACAGGGCAAAGAATTCGCTCAGACCCTTACATCAGCTCAGCCCAAGGCAGCTGATAACTATTTGCCTCTAACTAGTATGATTCTTCAAACTGTGAGACAAAGATGCTGTTTCCGAAGCCAGACAATACAGCCTGACCACCAGCGTGACAGCTGTGGCCACAGGTGCCTACTTCTGTTATCAGCTAATTCCAGTCTCAGCTTTAATCTGATCTAGCCCTGTGAAGGGCAGCTATGACTGGACAGAGCTCAATTACAGATTTCACCCATTTCACCCCAAAGATAATTAATTTTGCCAGCAAAATAAAACAAAGCTTGAAGATCTAACAAAGTAAAACATAAGGTATACTGCTTTTGAACAGCATGTCCCTGTACTTTTGAACAGCGTGTCCCTGCAGGAATGCTAACTGAAATTTTTAACTTGCAGCCACACTAATGCATCAGAGCAAAATTACTGCGGAAGAAACAGTTTTGGTATTTCACTATCAAGTGCAAATTAGCACTCGAAAACACCACTACATCTGCACTTCATACATTTAATGAAGATCACCATTTAGTGATAGAACAGTTGCCCGTAGTTCATCACCAACATACTGTAAACAGCACGTTTCCAGCCCGATTTCTCAAGCTAGATAAATAAATCTCTCCTCTTGGCATACCATACTGACTCTGAGGGAAGACGTATTCTTCTTTTTCGTTTAATATACTAAATAATACTTATCTCTTCTCCTGCTGAAGGATTATCAGATTAACTGATTAAGTTGCCCATGTTTCCAGAACAAGCCTTAAAACTCAATGATTTTTTTCTTCTTGTCTGGTTTAATTCCCCATGTCCAAATTTGCAATGATACTTAAAATTTCAGCTCTAAGCATTCTCCCCAAAACATCCACAGATAAACCAAAATAACAAAGCAACCGAAGAAAAGGAGGGTAAAAAAATCACTACAGGAGTAACCTGGACAGAGGCGGATTGCCTTCTGAATATTTTTCAGAGGATTGTTTTTCTCATCTTCTAACATGTGACAACCTGCTGCCAACTGATTAACTGCCATGTTCAGCAGGACTTCCTATAAAACAGAACAGAAAAGTGACTTAATGCTATGTTATAAAGCGATCGGAATTAATTTTAGGATTGGTTATGAAATTATAAAGTCTGCAGTTTAAGAAAGCCAAACCTTGCTGTGGTTTACATCAAGTGCATGTGCGATGTTTCCTGCCACAGCTCCCCCCTGCAAGATTGAAAAAAAATAAATTGGTTTGGTTATATGACTGGTTTAAGAGATTTCATACAAAATGTAATGCCAAGATCTTTTAATCTCTGTTAATCAGAAATACAAAGTTTTCAGAATGTGATCTCTTCCCTGCCTACAGCACAACCTCTTTATAAAGAATTAGGAAGAGATATTCACATCTGAGCTTTCCATACATTGTGTTTCTAATTTTAGCCCCATATAGAAAGGGGTTTGTTTTCAGGTGCTATTTCTACTTACATAATTGACATAAATTATGACAAAGAGTATTTATATGGAAAAGAGCTAATAATAAGCATAAAAGCAGTAAAGAAATACTGACTAATGCAAAAAGTGAAATCGGCTAGATTAACCAAATTCAACATACTTAAATCCTTTTATTTATTTATTTATTTATTTATTTATTTATAAAAAACACATATATATAAATAAAAAACACACATGTATAAAACCAAACAAAAAAATTATACACAGTACAGCCTTTCCTTGTTGGAATAATTCTAGCAGATTTTTCCTGTAGGTTTATATCAAGAGATGAGGAATTGCTATCCCATGAAAGATGCATACAGTGGATATGGAACTTCAGTAAGCACCTGTGCATTGCTCTGCATGGGCTTGTCTATAAGCCTGAAGTTTTAATTTTAAACTAATGAACAACCATGTAGGGAAGGGTGAGGGTTTTTTAGTTAAAAACCAACATGGACTACTGAGGCTGTAAACAGCACTTTTGTATTACAGCAGTGCACTTACTTTTGCCTTTTGTGATGCATAGAGTGGAACCAGTCGAGACAGAAGAGACCAGAGGGCAGGATTATCAGGGTTACTGGGAAAAGAACAAGGATGTTAGACTTTCTGGTTTAAATATGAACTGGGCCTACCTACCAACTCGGTAGGCAGTTGCTATAAATCCCCAATGGATCTTCTTCTATTAAGAAAACAACTCAGTGTGGTTGAAAATAGACATGGGTGGTAATTTAAAACAAACAATATTTAAGTTTTGGAGAAAAAAATTTTCCAAAAACACCTGGAGACATTATGAGGTGTGTCTTGCTTAAAGGCACTGATTAAAGTTCCCCCTTTCTAGAACGCTGAACAAAACACATTTAAACACAGACATTTAGCTAATGAACAGCTTCAGAGACTGTTAAATATTAAATAAAAGCTACATATGATGAAAAATGTTTTCACAGAACAATGAACTGATTTAATTGGCGAAAAAAACAAAACAAAGGACCCAGCAAAACAAATCCCAGAAAACCCAAAAAAAGCCATGAAACTTCTGTCGTGTGATCCCATAAATAAGAAAGCAAGCTTCTGTCACAGCTGATGTTACAGCCATAAGCAAGGACTTCCTGTTTGAAAAACACTTTTTTTTTTTTTTTTTTTTTTTTCTTACTGTTCAGTGTAATCAAAGCAATATATTTACAAGGCAATCTAAAGACAGACAAAATACATACCTGTGTATTGCTCGGGAGACTTCTCTCTGGACCCCCACATTTCTACCTTGCAACGCATAAACAGCAGATGCAACAAGGCACCTCTCATAAATCCTGTCATGCCCCTTTTCATGCTTCAGTAATTCTTTTAAGGCTGCTGTTGCAAGCGTGGCATCCTGCTTTACCAGTCCTAGCGTGCACAAAGCTGTCAGACTTTCCGTACTAGGTTCCTTTAATGAGCTGTTGAATCACAGGGAGGGAATAAGACACGATTTTGGAGCACAAAATTAAATATACTGTTCACATTAGAGTACTTGCTACTTCTGAGCCCTCTCGCTTCAATGCATCACGTATGGCACACAGAATTAACAGCCTCCCACTGTGGGATCGTGGAACGAGCGAGGTAAGTATCCTTGAGGTGTCAGGATATGGAAAACAGCTGTGGTTATGTGCAGTTTCAGCACTCAGGCTTATAACTTGTAACTGCTTGGCAAGACTCTGACCTCTATCCTTCTGCAGAAGCCATAAAATAAATGGTAAAAACCAACATGTAAGACTGACAACTCTTTTCTTTTCTTGAAGACATCTGTACTTCTAACTAGTATCAAACCAGAGTTGTAGTGTGTCTATTTACAGCTTTGCAACAGAAATCCAGGAAGCAAAAAACCAGAAACGAGCCTGCTGCACAGAACTGCTCTTTCTGAGAACAGGGATGTTCTGAGAAATTATGCCCTGTTTACATGAAGATTTGTTCTGACATATGGTAATCTGAACATGTTTTCCACCATCTATTCATTTTAGTACCACTATCAGTTGCACTGTTCCATTAACTTCATTACAAGAGGCAGCTTAACCTCATGTCAATAGTATTCTAAGCTTTACTGGAGACCTACTCTATAATTACTTTTATTTTTCTGTATATTTTTCTAGTATAGGTGGAGAACTGTTAATTCAAGTTAATCCCTTGATCTTCAACTCTGATGAAAACAAACAGTGAGTTTAGTACAACCAAGCAAAAATCAAAAACCTTAACTGATGTGCTAGTTGAAGGTGTTCTTACAATAAAGGTAATTCAATAAATTGCAATACAGACTGAATGGAGGCAAATAACGAAATAGTGCACAGCAACAGTAATTTGGAGTTACTTCATTGTAATGTCCTGAACACAACTACAGAATGAAGTGCTGCTTACTTTCACTTACTGGGCGACTACAGGCTCCTAATCAAGCTTCTAATGATAACTTCTGCCTTCAAAAAAAAAGACAAGAAAGTAAACTTTTGATTCTATGCTTTGTTTTCAGTCACTAGCAAGAAAAATTGCAAGGAGCTGTTAAACAAACTTGCACAGCCAGCACTACATTACCTGGTCCAAAGGTGCTGCCCTTTGACAAGTAGGAAGTGGGATTCTACCATATTAACTAAAAAGACAATACTCATTGCTAAAAATTCTCTGTCGCAAGCTGACCATGAGAAAAGAAGAAAGGCAACTGCTTGTCCAAGGTCCGGCTCAGGACCTTTAAGCCATGTAGCATGAATTCCAGACAGTCAAGACATCTGTCTGTTGGACTAGAATACACTGGTTTTGTTTTTAGTAATAAAATCCACTGTGTACCTTTGCAGCACTATGCTTCCAATTCAGATCTAGACATGTTCACTGTAACTTTACTTTCCTAAACCACTTACTTTTTGTTTTTCTTTAAACAAATAGTCCCCTAGAAAACTCTCATTGTTGATGTTTATGACAAAAAGAGAATTCTGCAGGGATTAATAGGATGTAGGAAATACCAGGTTCCTATATAGTTAATCATCAGTTACTCAGGATTTAGAGTGTACTAGGTCATGGACCTTCACTGTTTCAGTAACTTCAGGAGTTTGCTGGCCAGACACTACTGGAGCTCTACTGACAGAGTTGATCCTGAGAACTGAGATGGTAGCTTGTGATACATAGCTACCAGGAGACTAACAGTGATGCACAGGCTTTTAGCCTCCACAGCTCTGAAAAAAATTAAGACATTCATGACTTGAGAGAACAACTGAAACAGAGCTGTTTCTTTTCATGGGGAAGCTACAAGATTGCCCTTGTCTATGACACTTGGAACACAACTGTTCTTGGAGATTTCTGACTATTTAAACTGAAATTGTTTTTGTTAGGCATCTAGATTTCTTACACCTAAACAGCAAAAATACTGATTAGTGCTGAGGACAGCTAGAGACTAATAATATCTTAAAAGACAAACATATTAAAGCTACCATTCAAGGATATCAGACATCCAAACTGCCCCAGCTCACTAACCCTTCTGTTCCACACTGCTTTAAGATTATGGAAGATAACACAGGCCATAAAACAAAACAGATATATCACATGAATAAGCTTAAAAGAACACTTCAACTCCTGTTTCTACTCTTCAATACAAAAAGAAAACATCCACCTGAGATCCCCCCAAAAAAGTGAATTTGAGGATTCAGCAGTACAATAAAACACCACACACTGGTTATTATTCCCTCCACTCACCATTTAAACAGCAGCGCCTTTGCAGCATCATGTTTGTTCTGTTTATACTCTATTATTGCCAAGGCAGTCAGGATATGTGCTTTATCTTGTTCAGACTCAGCAATGGACAAGGCTTTTTCATATGCTGGTAAAAATTCAAGACATGGAATTGAAGTAGGAGAAAAAAATTATTTGTTTATAAAACCTCTAGAAAGGTGTGCTATTAGAACACACACAGAGGGGAACTTTGGTTTCAGGTTCACTGTATTTTCACACCTCAAATCACAGGCAGAAGACAAAAATTGACTAAGACTTTGGAAGTAACTGTATGTTGGGAAATTCCAGATTTACAGGGCTGTTCAGAGCCTGGGAGTTGTTTAATATGTAGGAATCGGAAACAGAACTGCAAAGCAGTGCTGGGATATCCAGAAAAAGCCTGAAAGAACAGTTTAAATGCTCCCTGGTGAGAGTTTATTTATGAAATAGTACTTCAGATGGGCACACATCATCCCAATTAAAAAATAGAAGTTATTTAAAATGCTGAGCTGGCTGCTCCTATGCTTACACTTCTACACTGACAATTCAGTATGCCTTTCTGCAAGGTCTCACATCTTAGCAGCACAGAACATGACAATACAGCACTTTTAGCACTAAAGCTAAAGTGGTTTGAATAACACATTAATCTCCTACCCAGAACTGATTTTTCCAGTAAAGACATTGCATTTGAGAAGAACAAAAGAGCACAACAGCTTAATGGACAAGAATGAAAGACTTGAAGAAATACAGCTTCCCTCTGTACACCTTAAGAGTTCCAGCAACCTGATGAAAAGCCTAACGATTAAAATTGGGGAATCTGTACTTATGCATTAGGACTGAAAGAGTGAAATAAACTGAACTACAGCTAGGTTGGTCAGACAAACAAATTTTGGTAAGAGTCATCTCAAGAGAAGCGTCTCACAAGGCTTGGCATTCAGCAGACACTTACCTTTGATACTTTCTTGTAGGAATCCTTTTTTGAAGTAGGCTAATGCTATCCCCACAATGCCATCAAACTCAGTTAGGGGTATTGATCTGTAAACCTCAATAGCCTTATCACACTGACCAAGGGCACTGTGAAAACAAAACCAGTCACTGGTGAGAGGGATGTACCAAGAGCTGCTATGATTCAGACAAGCTATGCTTGCAGACCAGTACCCTCTTTTCCATGGCAGTTCTAAGTGGACACCTGGAAAAGAGCAAGATTAGGACAAGGATGTGCAATATTCCCCACCCTCCTTCTTGTTAGAGCAGTTACTCCATCCCACTATCTGTTGCATGAAGAATAATTGATACAAAAAAAGTCCTTCCCATCCGCTTGACAGCTATATGTAAGGATGTCACTTCATGGTCAACACAACAGAGTGGGAGAACATGGCAAAGGAGAAGTACAGACAGAGGTGCACCACTGTTACAAGACGGCTATGTAAGAAAGTATACAGGACTGTGTTTATTAAAACAAGTTATTAGTTACTGGAGCTTTGTTCTTGTGTAAGTTGCACACAGGAATCACCATGCATACAGCTTGGATGTGAGACTACCAGAAACGGTAGAGTTGATGATAAAAATCTTCCCTGGTATTAAAGAATGAGTTATCACATTATCGCGGCCTAGAAGTTCCAGTGTCATGTACAGAAACTTAAGAATATACCAAGTTTCCCTAGAGAGCTGACAAACATCTAACGAGCAGAACTTGAGCTATCTCATATCAAAGAGAAGTTTGAAAGTCTTTGGCTGTTAAGAACTGTGTCCTGCATTCCCTCAAAAGCAGAAGGGAACCATGAAGGGAACTTACAATTCTGAGTAGGACTGTAGAGCAGAGGGTCATCAGAAAGATCACAGACACGCACACAACACCCCAACTCCACATGCTTCAGGTCATACAAGTCAATACAAGTTCAAAGAGAGATAGAAGAGACCAGATAAAACCTTGAAGCAGCTGTTTTACTCAGACTAAGCCTACTACAAGTGTGGAGATTGTCAAAGACCTGATTTATTCCAGAGACCATAAAACAGCCACGCTGTGTAGATTATGTTAAGGCACTTAAGTATCAAGCCAAGGATAAGTGAATCACCGACATGTTATAAACTATAAAGACATAAAGCAATTCCTTGCAATTTGATTACTTGTTTTTTTAAAATATACTACTCATTTCTGGAGCACATACCAGGTTCTGTCAAACGTGTCTACAGTTAAGAATGATGTTTAATAGATTATTTCGAGCAGTGATCTTCCACCTTTCAGCCTCAACCATGTTCTGCGCCGCTGCATTCACTACACCCAAAGCTGAAATCAGGGGCTGGGAAAACGCTGATCGACACTTACCACAGTGACCTGCCATAGTTTTGCATTGCTGTATTGTATTTCTCAGTATCCTCAGAGTTTTTCAGCAATGAAGCAGCCCTGAAAATAACCGCAATTAAGAATAATTACCATCTGAATATAACATGCATGTTTTGACAACAGTTCTCAGAGCAGAATGGACAACTGTTTTATGCAGAAGCTTTTCTATGCTAATTAAGCACAAACAGATACTATTTTACAGTTTTAATGCATCAGCAAACATGTTCAAACAGGGTTTCCTTTGCCATTTCCCCTACTATTCGAATAGAGGAGAAAAAAACAAAACCAAAGCCCAACCACCTCCATTAATGAGAATTGGGTAGAGACCAAAACTAAACCCAGGCTTATCAACCCTCAAGATCTCACTTAAATCCCACAGAGTGGATTAGCTAAATGTCCTGGTAAAACAGGCTAGCTTTGGAATGCCTCTACTTCTCTAGTTCTGTGTCCTGCATTTCCAAATTTGATACAAGAACATCTCCACATCTCCCCTTACAATACACTTAGTTGAAGTGTAGAACTGACAAAGTAAGGTTTACTAAAGGAAAAGAAAAACCCTTAAGTTTTCTAGCCGCTGCATGGAAAAAAAGAGGTGAAGCTTCTATCGGTGAACATTCCAAGGGTTTATAGTTTACCTCTCATAGGCATCTGCTGCCTGCCTTTTTAGATGCAGATATTCATTCAAATAACCAAGCATTGTGAAAGCAGATGCATCATCTGGATTTCTTTCTAGAAAATCAGAATTGACAATACAGGAGAACATGATCAGAAAGAGCTGTGAGAAAGCATTACAAAAACATTGCCTCACTGATGCTACAGTGTCTGCATATATACAAAACACTTTGCCAAGCACTGTCAGTCGCTCACTGGAATCATCTGAAGAGGCTGCAGGCAAACATAGAGGAGATACAACACAACATAACATCAGGTTAGCTCAAAAATGCTTAAAAATCTTACAACACAGCTTTAACATATTCAATATATTTTTTTTCAGCACACAGTGGTTTGGGTTTCTTTTTGTAATGAAATGAAGAAACTATTCAGCTCTAGTGAAATGCTAGTAGAATCCTAGGGTTTGTTTTTAATACGGCAACTCTGAAATGCTTATTAGTAGCTAAGGCACAGATTTGTCAGCTGTCACCTCATCTCAGACTCCTAACCTTTTTTCCCAAACTAGGAAGGATCATCTAGGCCTCTCCTGCAGTCCATTTAAGAACAAGGACTGCACAGACAAAGAAATACAGCCTCACATTTATCTCATTTTAAGTGCTTGCTTATTTTGTAGCTCTCAAAAATCAGCAGCAGATTACTCAAATGATTTATTTACAGTAATAAATGACAATTAAAGAAAATATATACTTGCTCTATCTACCTTCCAGGCTAGACTCTACCGAAACAGGGTGGCCACGCTGGCTTGGAACCATGCCCAAGAACACTGTCTAACTTCCTACTGAAGGTTAACACACTCATATGCTGGAGGTTACACAGTCAGGCAGCACCCATGAGCAGGTTTCTGCCCAGCAAACACACAAACACACACACACAAACACACACACACACACAAACACACACACACACACACACACACACACACACACAAACACACACACACAAACACACACACACAAACACACACACACACACACAAACACACACACAAACACACACACACAAACACACACACAAACACACACACAAACACACACACA